CCAAAGAATGACACACAGATTGCCTGCCCCTGCACAGATCTAACCTGTAACTTAGTTTAAGGGCCTGCTTGTTTCCATGGAGATAGTGAATGTTAAAGCTATACTGTGGAACATCCAGACAAAGCAGTAACATCTTCACACATTTACACAACGCACATTTAAAACTTATTACAAAGGATGAAATAAAATTGTATCATATCTCATACATTTGTTCTTAATATTTTACAACATTTCCTAAAAAGTTACACAAATTTCACCGTTATTAAAATCATTAGAACCCATTCAGTCTGAAACTTCCGTTCAGAGGTAGGTATTATCAAAATAGGCCTCACAAAACTGTCACTTTCACAGCACATTTGAACATTGTAATTTAAGTCTGGCACAAAGTTTGACTCGTATTTTTATTTGTATTTTTTCAAATTCTCTCCTTTTTGCTGCTCATGTTAAAACGGTAACTTCAGAGGAGCGGTGCAGTGTAACATGTGTTCACGAATGACAAACTTCTCTGCTTTGATTTTTACACACTGAGATAACAACTTGGCTGTCAATTAATAGTGTTTGAATATTTACAAGCTGCTCTACAAAGGAAACAGGAGATACAGAAAATAACTGCAGACATGAAGGATTTTAGAAGGTAGGATGCTTTAATGTTTAGTTAAAGATGCACTATGTCACCTGCATGGGATCCTTCTACAGAGACTAGAGGACTGGGTGGGCCTCTCTGGTACTGCACTAAACTGGTTCAAGTCCTATGAAAAAGACAGGAAGTATTTTGTTGAAATTAGAAACTGTGTCTCAGATCACATGGCCCTGACCTGTGGGGTGCCTCAGGGGTCGATCCTGGGTTCCCTTTTGTTCAATCTGTTGGTAATACGTAACAATAATGTGTCCTACCACAACGATGCAGACGATGCTCAGATGCAGCAGGGGACTTTGGATCAGTGGACTCACTCTGCCGCTGCATCCAACAGATCAGTGTGTGGATGAAAAACAACTTTCTCCAGCTAAACTCTGACAAGACTGAAGTCATAGTGTTTGGTCCACAGAAACAAAGGGACAGTGTCAGCATCACCTCCAGTCTCTCTCGCTCTAAAACCTTCAAATCAGGCAAGAAATCTCAGGGTAATAATGGACACAGACTTGAACTTTAACAGCCACATCAAATCAATAACATCTGCAGCCTTTTACCATCTAAAAAAACAACAAAAATCAAAGGTTTACTGTCTAAAGCAGACTTGGAGAAACTTATCCATGCGTTTGTCTCCAGTAGGTTAGATACTGTAATGTTCTGCTCACTGGTCTCTCCACACGAGCTGTGAGACTCTGCAGAACATCCAGAACGCTGCAGCTCGGGTCCTGACTCGAGCCAGAAAATACAAGAACATGTGTCCTGTGCTCAGGTCTCTGCAGTGGCTCCTGTGGCTCAGAGACTTTAAAGTGTCTCTGCTTGTACAAGTCTCTCCATGACTGAGCACCAAATACATCTGTGACATGTTAGTGTCATATGAACCATCTCACACTCTGAGGAGCTCAGGGACCGGCCTCCTGCTGGTGCCCAGAGTCACGACTAAACACAGGGAGTCAGAGTTTCAGATTCATGCAGCTAAAACCTGAAACAGTCTTCTTGAACATGTGAGACAGGCCTCTACTCTGACTCTGTTTAAATCCAGACTCAAAACAGTTGTTTAGCTGCATTCTGCCCTCTTCTCTCTATTTAATGTCTCTCTCTCTTTTAATTTTATGATGATTATTTATGTTTTGATTGGTTTGTATTGTGAGTTTAATGTATTTCTTATTCTGTAAAGCACTTTGAATTACTTTGTGTACAAATAAACTGTGATCTGCTTGTTTCTATGGATATGTCATTGCTCTGCCTGGAATGTTCCACAGTATGACATTAAACATCTCTACCTTACATTTATTCAATTACAGGTGGTTTTATAGCTGAAAATACCTACAAAAACATACATTCTGACTGTGAGCGAGGCTGCCTCTCCACAGAGCTTACCTGGTCTGGTTTGGTCTCCGTGAAGATAGAAAAATTGCCAAACTGTTAAACATTCCAGACACAAAGTAGGTGGATTATAGTATTCTCACTCTGAGTTGTGTTACCTCTCCACAGATCTGACCTGTAACCTCTCCTACTGCCTACTGCTGTACTGATGCTGTGATGATAAATGTTTAATGCCACACTAAGGGACATTAAAGAAAAAGTAACGATCTCCGTGGAGACAAACCATGGCAGACCTTCCACCGAAAATGAATTGTCGTCTCTCCACAGATCTGACCTGTAACCTAGTCTACTGATGCCACCTGCTTATCTCTGTGATGATAAATATGTTTTGCCATACATTTCAGCAAAGTCAGACCTTCCATCAGCAAAGTGACTTAGCGTCTCTTTAAAGGAGCGTCTCGTCTTAAATGGTGTGTGATAGTGACTGGAGGCGATGTGAGATCTGCTGAAATTTGCTGAACAATGTTAAAGTATAATAATAATTTCACTGTGATGATGTAATTTGGGTGAAACTGTTAATCAGACGCTGAAGGCAGACTGGGCCGGGCCTGTCTGCAAACAGAACAGTAAGACCTGCAAAGACTACACGAGGCACGGACACATCAGAATGTAAAACCTAGTCATTCTAACATTGTAAAAAACACTTCATACAAATGAGGGGCACCTAAAATAATTGTTAAGATAGGGAATTTTGTTGAAATATATCGAACTCAAGTGGGTTAAGGGCCAAGTCAGTAGTTGAAATTATTAGTTTAAAGTGATTCTACCATCGAGGAAATAATTTGGCGTTAAACTTATCTATCCAACAGGCAAAGTTACTGGTCAAACCTGTGGAGAGGCAAGCCCGCTCACAGTATGAATGCAGCTTTTGTGCAGTTAAAACAGTTGTAAATGAATAAATGAATAAATGAAAGATCAGTAAATTTAAAGCTATATGTGGACCGTTCTAGACAAACACGAGTAGAGGAGGGGGACAGAAAATTACACAGTGCACCTTTAAATACAGTCTGAATTACAGTACATGCTAGACATACCTTGACTAGTACTATGCCCTGAGCCCTGTGTGTCTGCAGTTCAGCTCCAGTCCCTCACAGATTAAGTACAAGCAGAAGTGTTTACACAGCAGCTCTGTTTACGCCTTTGAAGTAGAGCGCTAAATTAACACAGGGCTTGTCTCTCTTTCTCTCTCACTCTTCACGTTCCCTCCCTTTTTTCTTTCTCTCCTCATCCTCTCTTATTTCTCTCTATTTTTTTTGTTTTTCTCTCTCACACTTCTCTGCCAGTCTGTCTGCTGTTCCTCTCAGTGTCCCTCTCTTCTTTCACTCTCGCTTTCCCTGTCGTTTCTGTTCAAATTTGACCACATTTTGAAATTGCTCAAAACTTGCTGGGAACATCTCCAAACAACCTCAGACCACCCCCAGATGTACATATTAGAACATCGTTTGTCATTTGAAGGCAGCTTGGGGCCAGAACCTGACATGGCCAAAAATTTGATTTTTCATCAGGCTGGTGCCACCTAGTGCCTCCACTCAATTTCATTTCTCTCCAGTGACTAAGTCAGGAATCAGAATACACTAGACGGTTTGCAAGAACCTTGGAGGTTGTAGACCAAGCACCGGCCAATCAGCGAAGAGCTGTGAAGCCATGATGTCAAACTTAAGTGCTGGTCTGGGTCCCTTTTGTGATACAACAGTAAACAAAGTGGTCAGGATGGATCTAGATGAAGACAAACATTTTGTGTTGGCAGCATTTCTGCTCAATGATTCGGCTCAAATTTAACTCGTAGGTGTCTTATGGCTGAAAGACAAACAAGATAGAGTGTGGGAGGGTGGGGATAAGTTAGATGAGACAAACTGGGATGATGGGAAAGGTTTCTGGGAAATTAGAGGTGTGGTCGAAGTGAGCTGTGGTCGGCTGGTGAGGAGGAGAGGACGGTTGAGGCGTGGTCCTGCTCCTGAATCTCAATTATATTAACCTCAACCTTAGGCTACGTTTATATGATGACGGTCTGAACAGAAGACGCAAAAGTGACATCGTATCTTCACTTTTTATTCTGCATTCAGATGAGTGTTGTCTGGAGGAAATCTGTGTGCATATGGTGCCACAAAAGTGTGTGGAATTCCATTGGATATGAATGCCAGGCGGCTCGGTGGTGACTCTAGGTGGTGATGTATGTGACGTAAACGAGTCCACGACTTGAGCAGATCTGACCAGAGTTTTGTGTCTTGGGCAGTGCAGATGGAAACACTACGGCAGAGCGTATTCAACTTTTCCACTCTGGAGGGTGGTTTCAGATTTTTGCATTTTTAAGCCCCAAAAAGGCCGTCACTGTCTAAACAAAAGGCACCTCTGATAAAATATTTTGTTGCTTTTACCTGTAAGTGTTCTCGTCTAAACAGGCCCTAAAAGGCAGTTTGGGGCCAAAACCTGACATGGCCAAAAATGAGATTTTTCGCCAGGTGTTTCAGCTTAAATTTGACCAAACCAAAACTTGCTGGGAACGTCTCCAAACAACCTCAGACCACCCAGATGTACATATTAGAACATCGTTTGTCATTCGAAGGCAGCTTGGGGCCAAAACCTGTCATGATTAAAAATGAGATTTTTCGCCAAGCATCACTCCCCTTTTTCTCTTTACCACCGCTCTTCCCTTTCTCTCACTCATTCTCTCCCTCTCTCACTCCTTATTTCTCTTTCCCTTCCTCTCCCTTTCTCCCGCTTGCTCTCTTTTGCCTTCTCTTTCCCTCCATTTCTTCCCTTTCTCACCCTCTCTCCCCCTTAGTCTCTTCTTCTCTAACTCCTATCTCTCCTCTCCCTCATTCTCTTCTTTCTCTATCCATCTCTCTCTTTCACTCCTCTTTCTCTCGTGGCTCTTCCTCAAAATGAAGAATTTTAGCAAACCTCTACAGCAGGAACTTCACGAGTCTCTGGGCTGCAGCAAAGCTAACACTTCAGTTTAAAAACACACTGGGACAACAGGTTCATTAAATAAGACATGGCGCTTCATCAGGTTTATTTTTATCTGTTGTGGCGCATAAAAAATAGAAGTTCCTTACAGTGCACTTTTAAAATACACATATTACTGGAGAATATTAAAATATAGTTACCTTAGAATGGAGGCGAGAACGTTGGCATAATTTATTGTGGAGGAAGTGAGGAAGAGATAAGTATAAAATGCATATTGTGCAAAAAGAGAACAGGGCCCTGTAGTACAAAAATACTGAGGGTGAAAAGGTAAGTTTGAGGTGAACTCTGGGTTTATGCTGGTTCACATATATAACTACTGTATATTGTTGCCATTTAGTTTATTTAAATTAATGTCAATATTGGATGAGATAAGGCCCTGAAATGCCACAGTGTGTAACTTTCAAATACATGCATCCCGAATTTCCAGTCATCACACAATGCAGACTGGGAAGGATCCTCTGAAAAAGTGACCATCAACCCGCCATGTTTGATTTCCCAGTGGGATTTGTCTATTGTCAAAGCTGGTCTTTTCTAGTCTTTTGAACCATATCGCTTTTGTTTCTGGTTCCGATATAGTCATATTTTAGTTATGGGATTCAGACATTGTAATTGTGTGGTTGTTGGATCCTAACAGAGGAAAACGGCTCGAGAAATGGGCTTCGGAAGTTTGCAAACTCCATAAAAGAGAATCAGATCTGTGTGTGTTTATAGGTTTTCAGCTTCAACATTTTGAGGACTTTTCACCATTTGGATATGTCGTTTTAAATTGTTAATTGTTATGGAGACAATCCTAATTTTTAATCATTCTGAAAGCCGTGTTGTTAGATGCAGTTACTAACTCTAGCAAAAGTATAACAAAGATACAAGAGACAAAAGGATTAAAGTTAACTACAAATTACTTCAGTGTACAGTGGTTTCTCGTTTATCGTGGGGATTACGTTTTTAAAAATAACCCGCAAAGTAGTCAGCCTTACTTTTTACAATTATTATATCTGTTTTAAAGCTGTAAAACCCCTCACCACACACTTTATACACTTTTCTCAGACAGGACAGTTACAATCCTTTTTGCAACCTTCTGAAAACTTATTGCTGCTGTCATCCTTATGTTATTTTCCTCCTTTTTTATGTAATGAACCGAAGATTCATTTATTCCGTAATGGCGCCTACAGCTGCGTAACTTCTCCCTTCCTTCAGCATGTCCAGAAGTCCAAGTTTTTGTGTGGTGCTTTGCATCTTCCTCAGCCTTTTGGGTGCGACCGCAGGAGCTTTGTCGGTGCAGAACGTTTCGTCGACATTTTGGGTTTTGTTGGGGAGAAAACTCGCAAACATACAGCACTTCAGAATCACACTGCTAGAGATCGAACATTTATGTAAATTTGGCAAGCTGGACGCATTCTGTACTGGAAAGGAGACACGGCACGGAGCAGATTGATTGACAATGGTCTACAATCCCTAAAACAGCCCGAAACAGCGAGGCCGCATAAGGTGAACCATGTTACAGTGAGGGACGACAGTATCTTCTTAACAACATTCTCATTGCCAGGTTTCAGATGGCATCACAATATTCCATAGATTAATAATATTTAACACGAATGGGGGGTAAAAAAGGTAAAATGTATATGGTTCTAATGCAGATTATTGTTGTAACACACTGAGTTCTTGGGTCTGGTCAGATCAATAAAAGAAATGATCAGGTTCGACATTTGTACATTTACCTTTTGGCTATTTCACGGCAAAGTACAAATGTAATCAATAGGAAAAAAATGTCTCTTGGCTCATATATTATAAAAACACATTCTTGAAAAACACCAATACATCTCATCTTAAAGTTTGTACATTATTCTGACAGAGCTGCCAAAATACACTCTCAAATAAAATCTGAAATTTTTGCATCTGAGTGGTCATTGTGATTGTGAGTATGGCTTCATTTTGAATTGAAAACCTGAAATATATTGTCTTTTCATCTTTTTAAAATATTGATGTGATTGGACTTTTAGACTTTTAGCCATTTTCCACACCAATTATCTGGCAACACCCAATTCCAAATTAGTTTTGTAATACAGGGCCCAAGTCAGAAATCAATATAAAACAAAGAACATTGGCATTCTAAAGTTAAAAAGTTTGGTTAGTAACAGCATAGTTTTCACATAAAAATACATTCTTTTAAATTAGTAACACTTCAACAGTAGTGTGCACTTTTTTTTCTAAAGTGTCAAAACTCCTCCGTAAACTTTGCCTCTGAATTGTCCTTCCATTCGTTCATCCCTTTCTTCTTTGGACGTAGTGGAGGGTTAGGGTTAGTTTGAGTGCAAGGCCGTGGTGTGGAGTGTCATTATGTTTTGGTCCTGAAGAGGGCAGAATCAGGCTCACAAGGAGAAGGAAGCACCGTTGTTTTTTTTAAGAGTCCTCCTGTAGTGGACTTAATCAGAGAAGGTCCCATTCACCGTAGAGCTCCCCAGGTCTAGAGTGGTCAGGCGTTTGGGAAGAGCTGTGGAGAGAGACAGGAGTTTACTTTTTCAGTTTGTTTATGTGTGATAGCCAAACGAGTTATGGTTGGGTAAATGCTGCGAATTAAAGTCCTCAAAATGGCATCCATGAGTGTGAAAGTAATGAAACTGTAGTCAAAATGAGAGGTGTATGGCCAGTCTTTTGGCAGTAACAGATGTTGTTTGAACAGGAGTTTGAAAATTGTGGGACAATGGGAGTTGCAACAAAAAATACAACATGGAAGGAGAACATAAAATATGCACTCAAAAATAAAGATAAATAAAGGTGCATCGTATGGGAAAGTTTCACAGTAGAGTATTAAACCTTTATATCTGCACGGAGACCAAACTTTACAAAGTAGGGGTGTAATGGTACATGTATTCATGCTGAACCGTTTCAGTACGGGACGTTCAGTTTGGTGCAGGGCTGTGCACGAGTGAGTTCACGCAATTTCTGTGTGTTTACATTCCTCCACAACATGTGCAGCTACACGGAAGGCTCGGCTCTTTAATATTCACGAGGGAACTCGTCCGTGATTGGGGTGACAGTGTTTCCCGCAGTGTTTTATAGTCAGTATGTCAGGGGGGCTGCCTTGACAACAATTGCCCCCCGCCTTGACTACGTCAGTCCAAAACATGTGAATCCTTGCAAAACTACGATTGCCACGTATGGGCCTCACTTTCGCTGCCATGAAATCTCTGCCCACCCCAAAAGGGTATTTTCAAATGCTGGGGACATTGCAACTGCCAGGAGATCTGTACTTATTGCAGACAATGTGGACAAGTTGTTTTTTTCTGGCCAAAAATTAGTTAGTGCTGCACTTTACTTTTTGAAAAGTTTTGTTTACTGTTTACAAGGAATTTATTATTTATTTTTTATAATATTTCATACATTTGTTGCATATTTGAGAATATTTATTTATCAGAATTACCAAGCAGCACTTTGCATTCACTGAATTTTCCCATTTGTATAATGTTAAAACAAATTGTTGGTTTAATAAACACACAAATGCTTTTGCATTTTGTTCCCATACTGTACTGAAAATGAACCAAACCATGACCTTAAAACCAAGGTACATACTGAACTGTGATTTTTGTGACCGTTACACCCGTATTACAAAGACAAATAATAAAAAATACAACACTGTGCAAGTAGGCTACAAAACAATAAAAAAGTGACTATATGTTTATGTCCAGTACAGCACATGGGCAAGAATAAATAGAAAGTGATGTGAAATTCTTGGAAATAACCAAGTCTCTGCACTTTTGTTGTAATAGTGTTTTTGTAAGAAAACACGCACAGAGTCTCCCGTGTATTGTTCTTGTATGTAGTGTAAAAACAATAAAACACACTGTTGGGAACTTTGGCCTTAAGAGAAACAAATGGACTTTTTTTTGTGTGTTAAATGGTACTGGAACGGAAGGTATTCATTTGTGAATTTTTCCATTATAATTATTTTTTTTAAAGATTCCTAAACCTTGTTATTAAAGGCCAAACGTTTTTGTGTTTAATAATGATAAAAAAGATGGTGAAAAGATAATTGCAGTAAATAAATACTACTTTTTATCATGTTGCCCCGCCCAACAGAATTACAAAACATTTTTACATTTTCTAGTTTTTTTTGTTAAAGCAGTGCGTTTTCATTATCCACTACATGTGTAATACCTTGCAAACAAAGTCCAGTTGGTTATCTAATCCGTGCTTAGTGAATAAAAACTAAAATTTACAAGTTTACAAGCAGCAGCTGTTAAAAGTGCTTTGTGTAACTTTTCTGGTGGAGCGTCCGTCAAATGCTTTTCTTCGTGGAGATGTTATGACTTTGTCTGGAATGTTTCACAGTATGACATTAAACCTTTCAGAATCACAATATTTCTAGGTATTTTTGAGATATAAATCCACTTGTAATTGAAAAAGCGTAAGGTAGAGCTTTAAAACCGAAAAGTTACACAGTGCACTTTTAAAGTAAATACCTAAAATGATTAAAACTTGCTGCATTGGCCATAAAACTAAGAACAAATGATGAAAATGATGCACAGAGCCATAGAGCGGCAGGTTAAATGCAGAAGAGTCTGGGATGTGTTGCCAGGTGTCTGTGACTGGCAAAAACTCTACAAGTGGTTTTGGCTCAGAGCTGCTGGCAGTGAAGCAGAGGAGAACTCATTCACAGAGAAAAGTTGAACTGAAATTAGCCATAGAGAATTGAAAATGAGTCTCGGACTGTGAGCAGGTTTATAATCCCAGAAAATCACATTTAATTGGGCTGTCTAATTAATGGACAACTGATTAATTTGAATCAAGATCGAGATTCAGTCATGTCTAATCGTCAATTATGTGCATGGGTGGTTTTAATTGAGAGATCCACAGCCAGATACTGTCAGTTAAAGCATGTGAGAGTTCAGATTTTGGAGGAAGAAAGTTGCTTTTTTTTTTTTTTTTTGTTAAATTACACAGATTATAAAAGACGCCACACACTACAGGATTTTTTGGTTTTAAACCATTTTTAAAAGCAAAGATGACAGACACGAGAAAATGAGTAACACTTAACAGTAGTTTTTCTACAGTGTCAAAACTTCTCAGTAAACTTTGGCTCTGAAATGTCCTTCCCCTCTTTCCCCTCTGATGTAGAAGGATGTAGAAGAGAGAATTTTATGAGACTTAAAATCTCAGATTGCAGCAACTTCAGCGGGATATGGCTACGTACCACATGCTACAAAGTTGTGAGCACCTCGTGTCTATCCTTTCCTGTCTACAGTAAAACCACTCGCTTTGAGACTCTTGTGTTCAAAAGATCAGAGCACTGCACTTCTAGCTTAGATACAAGTCAAACTGCATTATTAATATTTGTGAAATGTGGTGCAATACTTCAGATACATGATTTTTAAAGTATAAAAGGCACACAGGAAGTAGAGTCTCGATTGCTAATATGCAGCTTCACCCCGACCGCCTGCTGTGTGGATAAAAACGGACACGTAAGGAGCTACTCTCACCTTTTTACTTTTAAAGAATGACTCAAACTGGATTCATAGCCCTGTTCGGGGACTGGGTGCCATTATTTGCGGAGGACAAATTGTATAGATAATGCGTATGAGATGCTGCAGTTTAAATTTACAACTTTATGAGGGGTGAGGAATAATTATTTTCGCTGTTTACTGAGTTTGTATCTTGCGCCTCTGTGTCTGTCACTCCGTCTGCCCCTGACGCTTTATTGCCTGTTACCGTAGCGTTGCTGATGTTTGGTGGTTATGATCTGACAGAGCCGCTCAGAGTCACACTGACACCACACAGTCGGGTCACGCCTTCCTGAACTCTGGGAGTAACAAATCACAGCCTAAATCTGACAAATTCTGCAGTAGTGTGTGGCAGCCTTAAGTGTGTCTTGTTCTTGTTCATGGAATCTCCACTGAAAGCCCTTTTTATTTTTTATTTTTTCAAAAGAGAAAATTACATTGAATTGAAAATTTTGAACGATCAATATGAGAAAAAAGAGCACTGTGATTCATTTTAACCAACTTTTCAAACTTGGTTTCAATGATAAGGAATAGGCTCAAAACACAATGCTGATTTTGATACCACATTGATAGACAATAGACACTAAATAATAGTATTGGAAAAACTTTATAATAACTACAGTTTAATTAGTTTAAGTAGTAGTTAGTGACCTTGAAAAGTCTTTGTTAATGCTTTATAAAGACTAATTAAGTTGTAGTTGTAATGGTGTGGTTTCATAATACTTTTTTGTTATTTGTTTGTTACCTCTTTTATTTCTAATCAAGGTCACTCAAACTATTCACAAAAGCTCTAATTTTGTTAGTGTGATTTCTTTAATATTGTTTTTTGTTACTTTCTGAGTCAGTGTAATCAGTACCTAGTTTCAGTACTAGTTTTGGTATCAGTATCAGATTTTCGATCCTTTTGACACCCCAGTCTAAATAATTAAAATAATATAAGCCTACGAAATCAGTAGTGCTCTCCTTTCTCCTGGGATCCTGCATTTTATCATGATATGCTTATTGATAATTGGATTTGACAAAGTAGACTTGTGAAGGCGTTGAACCAGATTTAAAAATAAACATACATTGTCAAATTATCCAGCAAAGTAGAGCTTGAAGAAAACATGGCTGGCATCAAAGTGTTTGATAGGCACAGTGGCAGGCGGATTATAAAAATACCCACATAGAGAGTCGGATCTGAGGGAGCCGGACAGGAACGTGCCAGGGTCTTTGATGGACGAGGACAGAGTGGTCAGACGCAGGCTTCGAGATGCGGCGTCCAATTTCTCTTCCTGCACAAACCAACAGAGAACGAGTGAAGCTGTTAACTGAAGAAATTCTTAGTTGACTAAAGACATGATCTGCTAACTAATAAAATCGACTAAAAACTATCGTATGTATTTATATAAAGACAGACTAAAAACATATGAATCATGAGTTTAATCTTCCTTACTAGATAAATACCGCAACATATCAACTCATATTAAATCATTATAATCTAAATGAAACTGTTACACATTTTGGTTGATTATTATTCTAAATCAGACATGTCAAACTCAAGCTCAGGGGCTAAATTTGGCCCATGGTATAATTAAATTTGGCCCGCAAGATCCTATCAAACATGTATTAGAGCTGGCCCACCGGCTACAGATAGGCTATAGAGACATTATTTATTTAAAATGTTATTATTTTATATTATGCTTATTCTGGATTCAATGTTTAAGCAAAATTGTTATTAAACATTTATTTTAATAAGAAAAGGTTTAACATTACATATCTCAAAAGAAGAGTAAATATGCAGATGTTGACATTTTTCAATAAATATTTAGTCTGGCCCACGACTTAGTCCCAGTTTTTAATTTTGGCCTCTGTGAACTTGAGTTTGACACCCCTGTTCTAAATATATAACAGTACATAGTAATCTGAACTACTATCTTTGAAGACTGCAAGATTTGCCAAATTATTTAGATTTAGATAAACTTTATTGATCCACAAGGAAAATTATTTGGACACAGTAGCTCACACATCACAATATAATATGCTACTGTAACCAGCTGCCACACTGAAAAAAACAAAAAGCACAAATTGCAAAAGTGATAGTGAGGAGGGTTGCATGTCTTGCCCAAAGAACAACAGCATTAATTTGTGAGAGCTCGGAGCAAACTGCCAACCTGCAAGTTTGTTGGTCTGATTGCTCTGCCATTCATTCATTCATTCATTCATTTTCTTCCGCTTAACCGGGGCTGGGTCACGGGGGCAACTGTCTGAGCAGAGACTCCCAGACTTCCTTCACCCCGGCCTCTTCCTCCAGCTCCTTCCGGGGGATCCAAGGTGTTTCCAGGCCAGCCGAGACACATAGTCCCTCTGGCGTGTCCTGGGTCTTCCCCGGGGCCTCCTTCCGTTGAGAGATGCCCGGAACAGTTTGCTCTACCACTGATGTTTAAATCAGGATTCAAACCAACTTCAATTGACTTCTCATTTTGATTTTATCGTTCTTGTGGTATTTGATTTATTGCTCTTTTGACTGTCTTAATTCTGTAAAGAGTCTTTGAGATCGCTACATAAATAAAATGTACTATTATTATTAAACCAAACTTCGTACCAGAAAAAACAGGCTACAAATTGAGCTACTGTCAGCGTAACCTCAATCAAACACGTTCTGAAGTGCATGTGATTCTCGTGTTAGTTTAGCAATTCAAATTTCAGTTTCTCTCAAATGTTAATTCTCCTGGACTTGTTTAAAATGTCAACTATGAACAGAATCCTACTATTAAAAAATAATTGCAATGCTGGTCGGTAATGTGTAATTTTCAATGTAATATTTTGTTCATCGTCAGAACGTTTTACAGAACATTTTCACTTATTTATTATTTCTATGATTCATATTTTTGCATTTTCTAAGTTTGTATTTCAATCTACTGTGCCCCAAGTAATTTCCCATTCTTTTTTTTTTTGGATATGTTTTGAACCAGCCTCCATGCTTTCACAAGTTGGCCATTGTTAAAACTGTAAAATCTACTGAAAAGGGCATGTCAACATATCCAATCCAAACCACTTTATTTATTTAGCACATTTCAAAGTTCTGTACAATACACATTTAAAAAACTCCACTAATCTTCGTCCATCATTAATAAAACTAGTAGAATCAAATAAGAGCAAAAATACCAATGAATAAAAAGGTAAAAATAAATAAAAAGACACATAACCACACAGCTCAGGCGGTGTTAAAAGTCAGAATAAAAGTGGATCTTAAGATGAGACTTAAAGGTGCACTGAGCAACTTTTCTGGTGGAGGCTCCTTCACCTGCATGTCTCCATGGAGATGTTATTGTTTTATCTGAAATGGTCCGGTATGGCATTAAATGTATCCATCTTGCATTTACTCAATAACTTGGCTTTTTATTGACCTAAAACTTGCATTATTCTTGTGAGAGGACTCGCCTACCCGCAGCTCTGACATGTAACTTGGCCCTGTAGTCTCACCTCCTGTCTCTGTAGATGGACCCTCCACCAGAAAGTCAGAGAGTTCACCTTTAAAACACTCCACTGTAGACCAATGTCATCATTTCGACTATATCTTTGTTTAATTTCATACAAAAAAATGTTTGAAACTGGCACTGCACACCAAACAAACATCACCACTTTGACCTAAAGCGCTGATTCAAAAGTGGCACACACAAAGACATTCAATCCATCCTATTTTCCTTAAACAAACTGAAGTAGGGGCAGCTATTAGGCTAATGCAATGGGCACTTATCGCTCAACACGGACTCATTTGGCAAAGCGCGGGGGTAATCTGGCTCTTAAGGGCATTTGAGGAGTGACAGGACGGGTGCTCGGAGAGGGAGGGGGGGTACTTGATCGGGGAGAGGGGGTATTTGCCTGTCAACGCTCGGCTTCATGTGGATGGCTCTCTGGGCTGCTCTTCAAGGACCGTTTAACAAGAACAATTAGGTGGTTCATAGGATAACTCCGGGGTTTTACGCTCCAAATTCAAGATTTAAGAGGGTTTTCAATGACTCATAATAGGATATAGGAAATACATTATTATAGAGCGTTGTTCAGATTGCACAGCAGGTTTTTATAGCCTATTTAAGATTGGACTTTTTAAAAATTTTATTTCGATTTTATTCTTTTTATGTGTTGATTCTAATTTTACTTTGCTTATGAATAGAACAGCAATAGATTAGTAATGTTATTAGATGAATTATTTGGCTTTGCACTATGCAGCTTTTCTGGTCCTGCTCGTCTCCATGGAGATATTACTGTTCTGCCTTGCATTAAATTTACTTGTCACCATGGAGACAATGACTAATATCCAAATTACAGGTCAGATCTGTGGAGAACATATTATGTAAGATATTTCTCAGCAAAATAAACACTGAAAATAAAAACTGAATGAATGCCAGATAGATTAATGTCATACTGTGGAACATTCAAGACAAAGCAATAATATTTTCATGGGAACAACCAGGTGGCAAAAAAGACCAGAAAAGTTACATACTGCATCTTTAGAAGCTGTACTAGGGCTGATGGAGTTGAGATGTGATGATACTTCCTGTCCAATTTGATCTCTATGAGGTTTTTGCTGAGTCATGTTTAAATAATAAAAATAAATAAATAAATAAATAAAGGAAGGGCAGTCAGTGGACGGAGAGGATGGACATCATGGACATGTTAAAAAGTTCGCAAATAAAATGAGTTCTGTGCTTAGAATGAGAGAGGTTTGTGTCTCAATGCTAATGCTAATGCTAATTTTAAATAATAAATACTAAAACAACACCACAAACTAGTATTCTACATTTAAAAAGAATTGAGCACCGTTTATTTTTATTAATTTGAATTTTAATAGGTTGTTTATTTTATGTTTTCCTAGTTTAATTAGTGTGACTGTTAACTTTGAGACACAGTGAGCTAGCTCGCGTGATGCTGTGCACAGAGCCTGTTGATTACAGTTGCAGAAAACTTACAGTACAGCTTCATTTTTCATTCACTCGGGCGCAAGCACAACTAGGTTTGAGTAATTTGTCATGTACCTAAATATAATCAAAACAGGCTCATTATCACTGGAACACTCGACTGAACTCAAACAAACGAGATGAGCTGCAGATCTTTGTTGAACTGTACATTTGTACCAGAGCTGGAGACTGGCTCTGTGTTATTCTGTGAGGAATTATTCATTTATTCATAGCAGTTGTAAATGAGAGAGGTGCACAGACTGGCAGTGCTGTGGGCGCGCTACACTCACAAATAGACTCGGACTGTCCTGACTCAAACCTCACCACTCGAATACAGAGAGCAGTTAGGGCTGAGGAAGGAGCGCGTGGGATGTTGTTTGGGAGGACGGCCTCTTGTACTGGAAATAGAGCCTTTTAATGCTAACTGATTAGTTTGTGTTTGCTGAGCTTGTATATCTGTACTCATCTAGCACTGAACGAAACAAAACAAAAATGTAAAAGGATCTGTACACAGAAGCGCGCTGGCTAGCTCACTGTGTTTCAAGGCTAATGCTAACTTATTATTAAAACATCAAATATCAAATAAACAATCACTTCTAAGTTAAAGACTAGACAGTTGTTGCTATTGATACTTTGCAGCTGATGTCATCAATATCACACAACATTACACAACAGGGGTGTGATGCAAACTGGAGGCAGTCTGGAGGAAGTCTAACAACATCTAACCAGAAAGAGCTGATTTAGTCTTAAAACTTTTTGTCACTGTTTACTAATGTATGCATTGTGTCATCATGGAAACTGTTGAACATTCCACTATAGACATGCACGCAGAACACCCCCAGCGTGATGTCACTGCAAAGTATCAATATGTAGATTGATTCAGTTTGTGGGATTATTTTAATACTTCTTATATCTCAAAATCTGCATTAGTGTTACACCAGCCTTTACACACACCTTATTTGTAAAGTGTTGAACATATCGTCAGTCAGTGACATTCACCCACAACTCGAGTTCCACTGTCTGATCTTTAAGTATTTGTCAATTCTAGTGTGACTTGGCAAAAAATCCATAGAGAGATAACTGGAAGTAGGACAGGAAGTAGTGATGCTAACAGAGCCAAATACATTTTTTACAAGTATTGACAAGTATGCGATTTAGTTTTTAAAAGTGGGATATTGTTCAAGAAGAGAAGAGAGAAGACGGCTGAAATATGAACTAATAAACCTATACAAGAATACCATACATCTCAGAACGTTTGTAGAGGTCTAAACTACAGATATAAGTTTTTTTCTCTATAAAAAAGACAGGATATTATGTCTTTGTGATTTGATAATTGCTCCAACTCAAATTTTGATTCAATACATTATGCGGTCTTACCCTGTACTCCTGGATCTTTCGTTTGGATTCATCAAGCTGGTGCTGAAGGTCCCACACGATCTCTTTGTATTTGGAGTATCTCTGCTCCACCTGCTCCCTCTGCCGCTGGGACTCCTGGAGCAAGGCACAGTCCAGGTCAATGTACAGTGTGTTATGAATTATGCACATATTAAACTAACTTAACTAGCGTAACTTTTGTAATGGAGAATACGCCACCTGCTTGTATCTGTGGAGGTGTTATTACGTTGCCGAGAAGTTTCCACAGTATGGCAGTAAACTTATCTACAACCATGAGGACAAACAGATGATGCCACAAGGCCAAGTTACAGGTCAGAGCTGGGGAGCGGCGACCCCACTCACACTTTACATTATAAACACTTGGATAAACACTTGTATTTGAATAAATTTGAATAAATCCCTCAGCATCTTTCAGCAAAATAAGTCTTGCCCCAGATAAATTGTATAAGCAGTTCTGAGAGTTGTGAAAAGTGCTCGTAACTCATCACGGTGAATAATGACGATGTTTAGAATGCATAAGGTAAATGAGGAACAACTTTGGACCACTGCAAAGTCTTTAAAATGAACTACTTCTGTTTTTAAGTTTAAGTTCTTGTATAACCTTGTTTTTAAGACTAAAAATCAGTTACAGTGTGTTTAAATGTCATACTTCATTTCTATAGATATAATAATCATCTCCATAGAGGTAGATGATGGAGCCCACACCCAGAAAAGTTACACAGTGTACCTTTAACTCCACAAATTTAAATTACAGTCTTCTACTAGTTTGTACTAAAACTAAAACTCACCTCCAAATCTTTAAAGTTGTCCATAAGAGACTGTTTTTCTGGGATGGCCTCGAGGCCGTCCAGGGCTGCTCTGGTGCTCTATTCAACAGAACACAAAAATACAACTAAATCAGATGGTTAAACAGTAATATTCAGTGACTATTGTCAAACATAAACTTGTCAATCACTGTCTGTATTGCAGCACTAGTCAAAACAGCACCTGGGGTAGGAGAAGTTTTGGTACATTTTAGAATTTTATTACCATTTATTTTTTGCGCAAGTGTGAGGTAATGTTTTCAGTCCAAGTCTAATTTGTGTATCCTTACAGTAACTTATTTTGATTGGAGTAACTTTAAATAAAATTCAACACTGGATCCTAACAGGGAAATGAATGAATCATCTGTTTATTTCAGATAAAAGGAACAATGCTTCGTGAGAAAATTAAATACATTAAATAAGTGCAGCCATCATAAAAGTATTTAACCAAACAGGAGAATTCTCAGTTTAGAATTATGGCACTGAGTAATGAAGTTGAATCTAATAATTTTTAGATTAACAGGATTTTTTTTGTACATTATAAAGTTGGCATTTTGTTTAACATGTAACCCCAAGCAAAACAAGTAAGGTATGTTAGTTTTAGAGTAGTTTCACTGTACTTAGCTCTTCCCCTCAGGCAGATATAAGGCAGTCTCTGCCAGCAATCTGATCAGAACTGAAGCAGCAACTTGGATGAGCTGCAAATGTATTCGACCCAAAAATGTTTGTCCAGTTAATAAACTGAATTTCTCTTTTGCCAACCCCAAATAAAGCAATGTCACAGTGCTAAAAGCTGTTCAAGCCTGTTATAATAGTACTCCCTGGTCATTAGCTTACTCAGAGTCGTATGATGAGAGATTCAAGTTTGAAAAATGGATTCTTCTGCATTTGAAGAAAATAAAACTATGCCGCTCTTAGAGTTGCAGTCCTTTAGTGGTTTAGTCTTTTTGTATTTGTATTGTGATTTATATGGGACAACAGCAGAAAGGAGATGCTAGCGAGAGAGTGTGTTATCTGAGGATTCTGTATTTTTTTGGTATCTATATGTAAAAAGGAAGGTTAAACTCATGATTCACAAGTGGCTTTATGTAAAATACTTTGTTTCCTAGCACTTTTTCTGCATAAATTGTTTTTGCATGAACTCCTGTGCAGGTATATGAACACAGTTTGGGTTAGATACGTAGAGACACACAATAGTTCTGAGGGCAGGACATATATTTCTTTAGTGGACTACAGCCCTAGCCGTTGTGAAGAGAGAATTCTGCAATTTTAAACAAAAACTCAATGAACCTGTTTCAATTATTAAATGGTTATATCTAAATATTGAGATATACAATGAACAAAATATAAAATAATGATCTATGTATGCAAAATTTCACTACTACAAACTGTACTACGTCTTATTTAACTTTGGACAGTCACCTCAAACAACACAGGCTAAAATGAGACACATCCCCAAAGCCTTTAATTGTCTTGAGTTTCTTTCTGTCTCAGCACTTCCCTCTTCAGAAGGCTCAGATGAAAGCGGAGACGTGAGGGGAGAGAATCGATCATACACACATTAGTAAAATGAGACATTGGTCCAAGACACGGGTCAAACCGAAGCACAATTAGTGAAGGCGCTCACAGCTGGAGGTGCAAGTTAAGGCTCCTCTGATGCTCCTTTATTAAAGCTTATTACAGAACTCACAGTATAAGAAGAAATGTGATACTGTTGGCATGACAGGGCTTTGGCTATTCACACTGATAGATGGAGGGAAGACATTAAAGGCATTAGGTAAGGAACTATTATGTATCTCTATTACATATGACCCAAACTGAACTCACAAGACTACACCTGCACAGGAGTTCATACAAAAACAACTCTTTATGTAGAAAAAACTACTAGGAAACAATGTATTTATATAAAACAGAATAAACTTGTGAATCATGACTTTAATCTGCCACTACAACTTTTTTTGGTGGAGAGCCTGCCATCTTCTTGTCTACATGGAGATGTTATCATTTTTCCTGAAACATTTCGACATTGAACGTTATCTATCTTCACAGAGACAAGCAGGTGATACCGGTAGGCTCAAATTACAGGTCAGATCTATGAAGAGAGGACTAGAGGTCTATGCGGGACCGAATTTTCAGTTCTCGTAAGCACCCACACTATGCAGTCCTGCTCCTGCCCACTCCAGCCTGCTCCAGCCCGCTCCTGCCAGCTCCTGCCTGCTCCTGCTCCCGCAAAGAATTGTAATTTTCAGTCCCGCTCCCGCCCACATCTGCAATATTTTGTCCCGGTCCCGCCCACAAGTCCCGCAAGATGTGGACATTCACTTTCTTAAGTTCCATGAAACATGGAGAAGCGGAAAGGAGTTATCTAAAATGTACACGAGATTAGACCACATATGCAAATTTAGGATGCTTAAACAAAGCTTGAACTAGGGCTGTGCCAAAAATTGTAAGATCAATAGGTCACGATCTGAAATTTGTTCGATCTCAATGATAAGGGAAGCACAGGGGATTTGCATTCTTGTTTAGGAAAAATCACCTGAGCCACAGCATTTCTCTTTTTCTCCTCACATGTTCACAAGTTTTGATTGCACAATTTGACCAAAAGGCCAGTGTCTCTTTCATTCTGTCTCTGTGCGTCTGTGTGTGTGTCTATGTGTGTGCGTCATGTGAATGAGCAGCTTTTGATAGAGAGAGTGGGCGAGGGGCTGTGCTCTGCTGCGGGAGGGCATCCGGACGATGCGCGAACATCTTACCCAGCACATGAACGTGTTATGAATGTTAAGCATTTATCATCCTAATATATTTTCAAGTAAAAGAAGACTTGAGCATGTTACACGTTGTTTTTCAATGGTCTAGTTTGATATTTATTTTTATGATTCTGGCAATTCACTGAACGCATCACACCATGCCCTCAGTTTGGTTCCACTCCACCTGATATTCAGGCTAGTGCTAAGATCGGGGGCAAGATCGGGCCCACAGTATTAAAAATATAATGTTAAGAATGTTTTAGTGGAATGGGTAGTCTAATCAGTCACATGCACTTTAAACTATTTTTATTAAGGCTAAATAAAATATCCAGCACAAATTACGATGATAGGCTAGGGGTGTGCAAAAATACTGAAATATCGATATATCGTATTGTTCAAAGTGATGATACAGTATCGATATCGTGGGGTGCTGTATCGATATATATATCGCCAAGAGTATTTTTTTTTTATATTTTACAAAATAATTTTGTTACAGCTACAGTTTTGTTGCTTGTTTAGAAGAAGGAAACTTGTTTAAGCGATGATTGATTCAAATGGGCGTATTTTATATCACTTTTGCACAAGAAGTGGTTTAACAAAGATTTTACTATCACAGCCATGATTTAGACATTTTATTGAACCGTAAAGAATCAATTTGAAATACATCGTATCGAATCAAAAGCGCACTGTATCAAGCTATGTATCGTATCGTGGCCTATGTATCGAGATATGTATCATATTGGCAACTTCTTAATGATACCCAGCCCTATGATAGGCATACATTCATCATTTGCATATCTTATTTTACACTCATATTTAGTTTGCGGGAGTGCAGTTTATCATCCCACCTGCCCGATCCCGCGTTGTGCAGTCCCGCCCCCGCTCCCATAATGAGCTTTCAAAATGTGTCCCGAGCTGTACTGTTTTGCGTTGGGTCCCTGCAGGGCTCCAGAAGACCCCGCTCACAGTAAGAATGCATGTTTTTCAAGGTATTAAAACAGCAGTCATAGTAAAATGCAAGGTTTATCAATGCAATTAATGCAATACTGTGGAACATTCCTGGTCAAGTAATAACATCTCCAAAATGCAAGTGGAAACCAGAAAAGTTCCATAATATACTTTTATGTGATTTTGAAGAATTGAGTTTAACCTTATCTTCCCTTACACAGTAAACATTTGCTATACCATGGGTGTTGAATGTGCTGCAAGCTTACTTAATACTTTGTATTTATACTTTTATATACTTTATACTTGTCTTTTAATCTAACATTTATACTTTAGTATTATTATTCATTGTTTTATGTTATGTGATTTTTGTCCCTGACATTTTGTCTCTATAACCCAGAGATGTTTTATTTTTAAGAAATAACATACAGATGCAGCTGACTGTAAAAAGTATTGTGATGGAACTTTAGAACAGTGTAACGGTCATGTTGCTGTGTGTTAAATCTTCTGAAATCTATCTAAAAGCATGGGTGGCTAGCACTCCAGTTACCCCCATCAATCCAATTCATGCATTATGGCATTCAGTGCTGCTGACAGGTTGCCCCAGCAGGACTGAAGTTCAAATGCAGGAAATGAATTAAAGTACACCTTAACTTCAAAAACACACTGTCTATGTAGAACTTCACTTTTTCAAACTCTGTCATTCATAACTGTTGTGGCGTGCACCATTGGGGGCATAACCAAAAACAGATGAGATATAAAACTTACTGTATTTTACTTGTCACACATATGTTAATCATGGTGTACATTGAGACAATAGATACAAACAAAAGATAATAACTGCTTGACAGGGCAGTAATGCAACATAATAGCAGCAACAACAGCTAATTGCAATGGTTCATTGACACATTTCATTTCAGAGCTTAATTCTGTTCATCTCTCTATTTAACAGTTTTAACGCTCTTTCATACACAAGTAATAACAAATAGACTGATTCAGCTAACTACTAAAATGATTCCACACTATTTAAAAGAATCAAATGGTACTCTACAAATACAGTGCATGATGGCCATGTTTGCTTGTCTTTATCCCTCTGGTCTGTAAATGTGTTCAATACTCCACTAGATTACTCCTGACATGTGCTGAGATGAATGTGGAGTGAAGAGCCATTTTGGTGCACGGGTCGATAATGTATTGTCAGCACTCAGTGACATGACTGACTGAGCCTGAGACCTTGAGTAAAGCCATCATTTCAATTTGTTGATTTAAATGGGTAATTTTTGACAAAAAAATGAACAACAGATCTAGTGTAAATGTATCCCTCCTGCTGTATTCGCATTCACTTTTCTTTCAACAGGTTACTTTGACCCAGTGTGTCAAAGTATTTTACAGATTTTAAAGAAACCGCACTTTCAAACTTGATGTGAGTCCATTAGGCGGCGCACTTGAAAAAACTAAACTTTTTAATATGACTTGCACAAAAAGCGTTAATTAGTATTTCAGCTCTTAACACAGCCTGGTCAATCTGACCCAGGAGTAAACTAGTGGTAAGTGGGATGGTTCGTTCCATGGAAAGTTCTTTGTTTTACTTCAAAATCAAAACATCAAAACATGCATTTATACTTGCGCAAAGGCAAGGGCTTGTAATCATCTTTAATGGCTTTAATTGTAAAATGGGCCATATGTACCAGTAGTGCTTTTCAAGGGAACAAACTTTCAATAATACAGTTGTGAAATCTGGTACAAATCATCTTTTCTTTTGTTAGATTAATGAATTTGTACATAGTCCCCGAACATTAAAGAATAAACTAAAATAAGTGTATGAAAAAAATCTTTCACTTACCATCTCGAGCTCAAAGACTCGGTCCTGTTAAAAAGAAACAACGGTCAATACCTCATAAACAATAGACGTTTGACCATTCTCTATAGAAGAAGGCCTGTTATACATTTTGATTTGTGAGATACTGTATATTGCAGAAGAAAATTGTGAATTATAACATGAAATATCAAAACATTTGCAGTTTAAGGGTCTAAAAGCACATGCACTAATCCTGTAAAATACTCTGGGTTGAATTTTTAAAAGCAGACAGGTAAAAACAAAGTCTTAAAGTCCGTTTAGGTGGTTCCAGTCACCTGCTGCAGAAAATTGAAACGAAAAGTGGCCACAGGAGGCTTTAGGAATGAGCAGTTTAAAGGAGCTGTGGATGTAAGTAGTGATCTGAGGTAGGAAGGACGGGGTTTTACCAATTAAAGATTTGTAAATGAACAATAACCAGTGGGTCTGTCTGCAGGTTTGGAGAAAAAGCCAGTGGTGCACCGAATAAAAGGAACGGCAGCATGATAAATCACAATGATCTTGTGAAGTCTTTGATTCTAAAGCAGGATTCTCCAAAAAGCCCTATTATGAATGTACAATTTCATTACAAAAGATGAGCTGTGATCAATAAAGAGCAGAATTAAATATTTAAGTAGTTAGCTTGTATCTAAAATTAGTCATAGAAGTTATTTAATCAACCCTTCAGGCTCGAATCTAATCGTAGTACACAAAAAATAACAAAAAAGCACAAAGAAAAAGTACCCATAAAGAATATTGACCCACAAAATACAATGTTCAATCTATCGTGTATGTATGTATATGTAGCTCGGTACAGTAATTATGGTGACTCTATAGCCATCGTGGTGAACCAATTAATTAGATGTTATTTAAAGTTTGAAAGCCCCCATTTTCTCCTTTTCTCACAGGAGTTCTGTTAGCAGTGAAGTAACCACCTGCAGTGTTGGCTCAGTGTCCAAAGCTCCACTTTCTTTCCCTGGCACTACTCACTCCTCCAGCTCCCGCCTTTGACTCTGCCACTCAAACACACCTGCCCATCCCAAACCCCCTGTCTCTCCGTATCTCTAATGTGTCAACATTTCTCCCTTAAAGGTGCATTGTGTAATTTTTCTGGTGGAGGGTCCGTCAAATGCTTGTCTCAATGTAGGCATTAGAGACTTTTTTCACAATGGGCCGGAAGTGGCGCAAAAATGAGCAAAAGTAGGATTATGGTCATGAATAAAACATAACTTGTTAACTCACACTGATTCTAGAATTAAAATTAAAAATTGATTTCATGATGTGGATATTAGCATAGACAGAGAGATTTGTGCAGTTTAAATGCAAGACGTGTAATCTGTGACCATCTGTAGCAATCTCTCTGTCTATGCTAATATCTACCTCATAAAATCGATTTTTTAATTTTAGTTCTAGAATCAGTCTGAGTTAACAAGTTACTTATTAATGAATTACTTAGTACTTACTTATTAGTTAGTTTTGCTCAGGAGAAGTTCACTAATGCATCGTTGTTCACCTTTACATTTTCATCTTTCTAAAGTTGATAGTTGTGGATAATTCTTCATGGACAGAATATGTCCTTTGTCAGCCTTGTTGGATGAAGACTTGGTGATGGGGCAGATTTATGAAGCTGGTGGAAAATACGCAAGACATTTCCACAGATATTTTGCCAGAGAAAAGCATTCACTTAAGTGACGTTTACCCAACATTGCGGCACTTCTGGCTTTTGTGAAAAAGGTTTATTGCTTAGTCTAGAATGTTTCACAGTATGGTATTAAAGCTTTCTATCTTCATAGAAACCAAACCAGAACAAGTTACAGGTCAGAGCTTTAGAGAGGCAACCCTGCTCAGTCAGAATGCCTGTTTTTCTCTGTATTTTTGAGCTACAAAACGTCCTGTAATTTAAAAAAGTAGAGCTGTTTAAGGAGCCCATTTTCTGATCTATGTTATAATGTTAGATCATCAGACATACCTGGAGTTTGTTTTGTTTCATTCACACGTTTAACACACAAACTTCTTCTCTCAAATGGAAAAACACTGTTCCACCTTGTGATGTCTTGTGGTAATACAGAAAGCACTCCACTGTGTTTTTAAATTTCATACATTGTCACATGAACACTAATATATTTAGATCATTTCAGCTCCGGAATTGCCAAAGTCAACTGAAAAAAAAAAGGTAAAAGTTTACATGAAAACTACCGTGTCATGACATCACAAGGTGGAACAGAGCATTTTGAGCTTTGACAAGACAAACATATGACGGACCCTCCACTCGAAAAGTTACACAATGCACCTTTAAACCCACACACCATTTCTCCTCGTCACCATCGCCTCTGCTGCTGTCTGTCTCCTCTCGGCTTCCTCGCGCTCTCCTCATCCTTCATAATTAAAAGCTTGACTGGCTTGGGGAGGGCTGATTAATTGCACATGAGTTCTGGCAGGTGCCTTGGAAACCGCCACAGATGGGAACAGCGTTGAGCTTGCAGACTCCGGGGGAAGTCCAACTGATCAGCACATTTTCTGAGGGCCAGGGCTTCATGTTGGGATGCCTAATGGGGAGTAAAGGGGCACAGTGACGCTCCAGGCCAGTCCACTACAGTCTAAGGTGAGTTGGTGGCTTGCCAAGAGAGTGTAGTAGATGTAGAGGTATTGAAGAGAAGGGCCCTGAGTGGATTTTAAAAGTGCGAAGTGTTGTGTCTGCAGTAATTAGCTACTTGTCCAAGCAAAGCCGTAAGAGTCTGACAGGCCCAGGGCTGTTTGTAGCACTGCGCCATCACGACGGAGAATTCAGTGAGCAGACATTTCACAACAAGCACAAATATGAGGTCTAAATAAAAAACTGGTAGAAGTTTCTATTAAACAACTCTGGGTCATTACCTAAACAAGATAGGATGGAAACGCTGTGGTACGCTGTCAGTCATCCAAAATGAAATAAAAAACAGGCTTAAAATGTAGTACGGTAATCTAGACTTCGGCTTTAAAGCTAATATCTAGGGATGTAACGATAGCCAAGTCTCACGATACGATATTGTCACAATATTGAACCTCACGGTACAATATTTATTGCGATATCATGGAAAACTCAGGATATGGGGGGAAGAGTCATGATTAGGGATGTAACAATATCCAAATCTCTTGGTATGATATTTTCACGATATACATCTCACGGTAGAGGTGAGATCGGGCCTAAAAAATCCAGCCCGACCCGACCCGGCCCGCGGGTATTAAAACCCGACCCGGGCCGAGCCCGACCAATTAACTTGATTTGCAGGCCCGAGCCCGAAGCAAACCCGAAATGTCATATTTTATTTGTGAGGACTCGGGAGGAGGAGCAGTGCTCAGCGTCGAGGTGCCAGTCTTTTTGCTCTCGTATGAAAGCAAAGCGCCACATTGACGACATTCAGCGAAGCCAACGCAAGTTTCTGTAGCATTTTCAACAATCAATTTGAAGCTTTTCCACACCTCACTCTTACCGGTGCGTGTTTGTCTTTTCAGTTCTCCTGCCTTTAGTTTAACTTCTTGCTCCTCCATATTGGGGATACCAGGTCAAAATAGATGCAGACTTGCGGAGGGGAAGATTATTAAATGAAGAGGGGGCGTTCACGTGCGCAGAGCTCTGGCTCTGCGGATCCTGTTTAGTAGTTAAATAGCAATTACATTACATCACTTCTCTGTTTTATCCATATTATTTATTTTATAACAAGTATTCCTTAGTTTAGTATCCTCACATCGTTTTAGCATACATTTTATAAACATATATTTATTTGAAGCCCGAGCCCGACCCGACCCGAAGTAATGATTGACATTTTAGACTTGGGCTCGGTCTTAAGATCTTACCTCTATCTCACGGTACGATATTTACTGCAATATTTTGTGGAGGCTAACAAAACTGTGAATATGCTACTTTTTCCTCTTAAAATGCCTTGACAAAAGTTAATCCAAAGAACTAAGACTGAAAAGTGCTTAGAGTTGTTATTTCTTCTTGTAGTCTGCACTGAAATGGAGCAAAGGATCAAGTCCCAGGATTTCAAAATGGTTGCCCATTCAAGTCAATGGGCTGAGCGCTTGATCCCAGATTAGCCTAGCCCACCTAGGTACTTCTGGTGGCTGTGGGCCGACCGAGCATGCGCAGTAGTGCTCTTTTTTCCTGTGGGCACACGTGAATGCACGCGAGCGCACGCCCGGAGCGCAGGCACGTGTATCACCTGATTGCTTTGACCAATCGGAGCGAGAGGAGCTAGAGCGTAGCCGGAGCTAACGATTATAAAACGTTTTTTAAGACAACTGAAGGATTTTGAGCTGAGAAAAAGTTTATGATCTAAAACTAGGTAAAAATCACCAACAAATCCGACATTTTTGAAAGTTGTGGGTGTTTGTGCTCTATGAGATAATTCCTCTCAGCCCGTGGGATTTTTTCCGCTGAAATTCCAGTGAGTGGCCACTACGTCAACTGGAGGCAGCTACAAGCAGCAATACCCTATCCAGTTATTTTAATAGATCCATGGGTCTATGTAGTTCCCTCTGTCTTTTTTTAACTATTGCTGCACCATAACTCTTAATTTAAGCAAAGCGACTTGTAATTCGATATATTGTAATGGTCCATGATATTATTATGAGAACTTTGACGATATAATATCATGACATTTCAGTTATTGTAACATCCATAAATTAGATTGGTCATCCTGTTCCTATCTGTTTAAATTGTCCGTTTAATCTGACATCATTAGGTGATAATAAAGGAAACACATATTGTCTTTAGGGATGAGCATGATTAATTGATTAATCGATAATTGATCATTAAGAATTTCATCGATTATGTTAATTTTAATCGACAAACCGAATGTAGGCTTGCTGTGTGTAGCGTGACCAAACAGGGGTCCGTACATGTAGCTCTCTGCATCAGAAGGAACGAGCAAACAGAAACATTCGGTCAGCCTGCAACATGCCGAAGCGCAAATGCGTATTTAACGATGACTTGTACAAGAAATTCCACGCTTTCCGTTGCGTTCGGGACAAGTGTGAGTCCATGTGCACAGTGTACAAAGCAGGAACACATGTTTCGGTGTCCAGTGGGAAAAAGCTTTACCAGGTGAGAGTCACTTAATGTCAATGACGACTCCTAACCTCCCTCCCCCTGTACGGTGTCCTGGTTTTGACAAAGCTGGTCACACTAACCTGTATTCCACTGAGTCATGTCTTTTAATCCGACAGAAATTGACCGCATCAGCGCAAAAGAGCTGTATTTTTATCTTCGCTTAGTTTATGCAAATTAGCGATGCGGTTTTAAGTTTCGTTTCTGTGAGAGTTGAACAAAACTGAATTAAACACATTATAATGTCAAACGGATTGATGTGGCTCTAGAGTGGTTACGGTTTATATGTCGTAAAGTTGAATTTATTTATGCAGATTAGTAGTGTAGATAGCAATAATAATGATGATCATTTTAATATAAAAACGTTAATGATTAATCGATAATCGATCGTTAATTCTTCCGACGATCGATTAAGAAAATTTCATCGAATGCCCATCCCTAATTGTCTTGACTACACGGAAGATTGACACTATTGTCTTTAGCCTCATTTGAACTGCTTCACTTTGCACCTCAGGTAATAATGGAATTTTGCATGCTCAAAAATACAGATGAAATACTTTTCTTCTTTTTTTAATTCTGTATATATAATTTAAAATTTTAAAATGTGAAATGCCAATGTTCAAAAGTAGATTAAAGAGTCTGACTGCCTACAGGACATTTAAGTGACTGTAGACCAGCAGTGTTTCCATTATTTTGTCATTATTGTAAGAAACTACATTATAATACATAAATACACAAAGTAATTCAAAGTAAGTAATATTTGTATCATCTTTTTAAATTTCCTAAAAAGGTGCAGGAGAGAAATCTGAGCATGTGCTACAAAAACCTATTTTGTGAATTGTTAATTACACACCTCAGGGCAGGGCAAATGAAAATATTTTACTGACCTTAAAACTATTAACATGCTAATTTGGCCGAGCATGATGAAACATACAATGAAGGGCATGTCAGAACAAGTTGGGAATTTAGTAACATAAATGGATTATTAACCTTAACAGAAATGAATAAATCAGAGTTGGGCGTGTTAATACCCATGTGGGACTCTTATAACAAATGCCCTGGACAAAATAAGCTGTAAACACTTTTGCAAAAGAAAAAGTAGGGGGGAAAATGAATAAAGCATGTAATTATGGTATACTCACTTGAAGACTTCTCATTTCATCTTCCTTACTGCGACTTCTCTCCAGCAACTCTGTAATAAAACATGAGTATGATTATTAGATGTGTGCTCAAAATCGATATTGTGATGCTTACATTTGTATTATTATTAGTATTTTTTATATATAATACTGTTACTGAAGGCTGTTACATTTATATATTACCATGAATATTTTTCAGTACACAACTAGCATGATAATAGTACACTTCCTGATTCCAGGAGAATAAACCACGTTACAGTTAGATGCTGAATACAGGAGATCCTGACTTAGCACACTACAAATAACAAAAAAATACTCTTGTTAAAATGTACCTTTTAAAACAGTAATAAATCATAGAATAATAAAATGTGCAAAATATCAATTATCACATGTATATTGTATATTGCGAGCCATGATTTATGTATCTTATCAACCTGTGAGGGACCCTGTAAAGCCAAGTCCTAATCATAAGCTGGTAAACACTGAGCCTAGGCCTGTCACGATACCAAATTTTGTAGTACAATATATTGCTGAAGTACATAAAGACGCTAAACGATAATTCAATTCAAACTTGTTTATACCATTCACACAATAACCCAAGAGCAGATTTACATCACAAAAAATATTCTAAATCTACAATATTGTTAAAAAAACAAGAACTGCAATAAATAAACAGCAGAATGAGACACTTCTGTACTTAGTTTGCATCTGTAATGAGTGATAGAAGTTATTAATGCAACCCTTTACAGCTTAAATTTGATCATATAGCCAAAAAATAACCACACATTTCTCAGTAGTGCAAAGAAAATGTACACATGATAAATACTGACACCCAAATAATATTATTCCAGCTTTCATATACTGAACTATAAGCCTATATAGTATTTATTGTGACAGGTCTACCTTGGACTCATTTGAAGGGGCTGTACTTGGGTAACAGTGACATGTTTTGGTTCAATAAAAAAACATGGCTGCAGTTACAACCTGAGCAGTTGTAGAAAGAGGAGTGAAAACAAACCTGCACCGTGCACTGCTGACGGCTGCACCTCACTGTTTACAATTACAACACAACAAGCTCTGTTTGCTTAATTAAATGTTTGTGCTCATGAATGACTGATTTTATTTAGCTGTGCAGACCTATTATGGAAATACCACACTGCTGTTTACACCAATGATTGTGAGGTAATTGTTTTCAGGGCCTGTGGTTTTAACATATTTGAAGCCAAGTGTTCTTCCAAAACACAGATGTAAATACAACATGGAAGAACAGATATGTAGTAACAGATATGTATCCTCTTGAGATAACAACTGCTCAGTGAAAAGAGAGTTAACCCTCTCAGGCTCAAATTAATTTTTAGTATCAGGAAAAATCTGATATTTGGGGAAAATGATCATATGGGGTAGTAATATACAATCCTGACTTTTTTATCCTTTGTGAACAAAAATTTTATTTTGCACTTCTGGCAGGCCGTTTGCGTGGAGCCATTCTTGCACTGTCTGCATCGCCCACGTTTATCAGCATGGATGGGAGAAAAGGCTCCTGAGTTAAAAAAAGCTCATAAAATATGGATGTGGAGTCAGTAGGTAATTGGAATTTAGCTGTTGCAAATCTGCAACGCCTGCCTGGAGAGGGTTAAGAAAACCCACAAATTCAAAAGTTGATAGTTCTACCCCAGCTCTTACCATTGCATAAAATAAAACTGCTATACAAACTACATACTAATTTGAGCAGGTGTCAATAATTCTGAACTTCTTCAAAAGTAGTATGACAGTATAGACAGTTTAAGAAACTACTGACAATCTGTGTTCAAAATGTCATTATACTGTTATGCTTTTAATTTGGAAAAGGAAACAGAATTGAGTTTTTATTCGTGAGGTCTACAGCCAGTTGTGTCAGTAAAAGTTATGTGGTTTGGAGCTAGCCTGATTCATCAGCCGGTTTCACTTCGTAGAAACCGTCTGACCTCGCGGCATTAGATTTCGTTCACTCAACAGTACTTTTTTCATTTAACCAACCGCTGCTATTTGGTCGTAATGCACCACTAACGAAGCTAACTGGTATATTAAACTTTTTCCCAAATCCCATAGGAAGAAGGACAGTAATGTCTTCCCCCTTGATAAAATTAACTAAACATTCTCTTTGTTCCAGCTTTAAATCTTCGATCTCAGGAATCATTGCCAACACAGAATATATGGTTCTTTGCTGATTGGCTGGTGCCCGAACTCACACTTTCGGGGTTTTTGTGAACCGTCTAGTGTATTCCGATTCCTGACCTAGTCGCTGGAGAGAAATGAAATTGAGCGGAGGTACTAAGTGGAACCAGCCTGGCAACTTTGGAGCAGGGCTCAGACAGAAATATGTTTTATGTTCAATGGCAATTACTAAAAGGGTCTATTTACTTATGATCCAGAAACATAAAGAAATGTATTTAAAAACAGTGATTAATCAACATGAGAATAAAAACAAATACATAAAAATAAATAGTCATCGCCCAGCTCCACACTTAAACATGAACACAACTTCTTTACAGTGACAACGCACTGTCTAGTCTAGTTCTAACAAAAGTTTCAGAGCAGTGCCTACAGTTAGCATCACACCCTCAGAGAATGTTGATGACATCAGTTGCAAAGTGTCAATAAAGTGAATAAAGAGGGTAGAGTTTTATTGGAATTTCTATCAGCTTTTTCTTTAATATCAGTGGTTGGAAATTCTAGTATTAGATAAAAATACAACCCTTCACAGTACACCAGTATTGATGTAATTATGAACGAGTGACTAAATGGGTGGACAATTCCTTTATGTAAAAGTACTTGAAAGCCCACAGGTAGAAAAGCACCGTATAAAGAGGTGATCATTTAGCATTTCCACTGGACATTTCTTGAGTATCTGCCAAAGAAATAGATCTGCAGATTGATCTCCTCTCAAGTCTTTCTAGCTTTAAACACACTCAACAAGGGCTGAATCGATGAAAACCTTGCTGAACAAAAAACACTTTCACATATTCTTGCTGTATTCTGCAAAACACTCCAGGATAATATTTACAGCTTTTGATCCATTTTGTACCATTGTGAACAGGACCTGAATGACTCTACAAGTGCTTTTCTCAACATGCTGAGTGCTTCTTCATGGTATCACTTCAATTCTTTAACATAGTCCAATGAGTGCCCACAGGACCGCAGAGTAAGCAGAATAAAGTTTAGCAGTCAAAAAATAAGCTGCAGTATGTCCAGTGACTTGTATAAAGGATTTTGTTTACAAAGCACAATTTACACACCAGTAATACAAGAAACACATACGTTTTGTTAATGTTTGTAGAGGCTTAAATATTACGCTATTTTCTGATCTATATTATAATGTTGTATAGAAGTTGTATTTTGTTTTAGCCACACGTGTTTCACACACAAACCCTGCATCTTCAGTTCTCCTTTCAAGTGGAAAACGCTCTGTTCCACCTTGTGATGTCATGTGGTAATACAGGAAATGCTCCAGTGTGTTTTTAAACTCAATACACCTTCACTAGAATCATTTGGATAATTTCAGACCTGAAATGACCAATCTCTACTGAACAAAAAGATAAAAGCAAGCGGTTAACTTGAAAACTACTGCTTCATGACATCACAAGGTGGAACAGAGCATTTTGAGCTTTGGAAACGTAGACAGACTAATAATAAAGATATATTCAACATGTGTGAATGAAACAAAAAACAACTACATGTATGTTTTTGCTGAAGTAACAACATTCCAGTAGGGCTGAAAGCTCACAAGAGTTTATTTTGTGTAATATAGGACCTTTAAAGATGCACTTTGTAACTTTTCTGAAGGAGAGTCCACCACCTGGGCGGCAGTAGCTCAGGTGGAAGAGTGTTCATCCAGTAATCTGAAGGTTGGCGGTTTGAATCACACTCTCGACATAAACATCATTGGTTGAGCGGTCAGATCCACTGATCCACAGGTTGGCTGGCGTGATTCCAGCTCCCACAGATGAATGCTGTCGTTGTGTCCTTGGATAAGACACTTAACCCACCTCGCCCCCAGTGTCTGTGTACACTGGTTGTGGGAATGTGTGTGTGTGTGAATGGGTAAGTGGTTCCTTGTTGTAAAGCCCTTTGAGTGCCCTGAAGGTGAAAAAGCGCTACAGAAAAATGTGACGATTTACAGTTACCATTTACCTGCTTGTCTTACTGGAGATGTTGCTTTACCTGAAATGTTCTGTTTGCCATTGACTTATCCATCTGAAATGTATTACTGTGAGTGGGTTCATTTCTCTACAGATCGGACAAAGCCTGGTGGTGTCATCTACTGGAGATACTAGATACACTAGATACTTTTAATGCCATACTGCGTAATAGTATGCAAAGTTATAATATATCCATGGAGAGCAACAGCTGGCAGACCGCCATCAGAAAAAGTTATGCAATTCACATTTTAAGTATAGGGTATCGGCTAAAATTATTGTGATTTTGCCATTTCAATTTTGCAGACCAAACTTCCTCCATCTTCTCTCCAAGCTATAATATACATATTTCATTCATGTCTATACTTCTAAAGAAGCCAGTAAAATGACACATCAAAAAGCCTGCTTAGCATAAATAAACACCATTATATCACAATGGAGGGGACGGCAGACTAACGAAACAGCAACTTTTACAATGTAATTTTCAACAGCGAAAAACAACGAGTGATGGACAGGTAAATGAGGACATAATTAGAATTTCAAATGCGTTGTTGTGAATGCGGCATGCCATTAGTGCTTTTAGTGAGGTATGGTTCATTATACAGGGCCTATTCAAGCATACAGAGAATTTGTAAGCCCAGCTCCGCTCAATAATAATTTCACAAAAGGGAGCAGCAAGCAAGCGCATTACCCATATTCAAAGTAAAAGTTGATAAAATCTTAATTCCCGTGGTTGAAATAAGCCGATCTGGAAGCTGTTGTGGAGCGTAGATTAGGTGTAGTTCTAATTACTGGAGAGTGGTATCGGAGCAGAGGAGCAGAGGAGATGGGCAGAACGAGCGCTGTCAGATGCTGATTGGGAGCACTGATACAGCAGAGGAAAAGCAGCTCTTGTGCATAATATGATTGGGCTGGTATCTCGTCACTGAAGCTGGAAGTACTACAGAGAAATGTACTTTTAATATAATCTAATGCATTTATTGTGAATGAAATGAAGAGGTATTGAAGGTTATGTTGTAGGGTTGTGACTAACAGTTTGAGTGGTTGACTTGTCAGTGATTAGTTTTTTGATTAGTGAACTAGTCAAGTGATTATTTCTATTGTACATGAAACTTTTCAAATTCATTATCAACAAAATTAAGGTTGAAATATAGTGAATGAATACATATAATATTAATAAATAAAGTGTATTAATGCGTGCCTGGGTACACAAGCTACAGCACAAGCAATTAGTGTGATTTATTGAGTTAAACTTTCCATAAACTTTCATAAAGCAAGTATAAGTTTAAGAATCTGAACACTTGTGTAGAAAATAGCAGTCATGAATTGTCATGTAGATAAATAGACAATGATGTCAGTTAAGACGCACAGAAATAGATAATGTACTGCTTTGAATGAAAATGACAGGTTTAAAAGTAAAAGGTGGGCTTGGAAGTCTGGAAGAAAGGATGAGATTATACGATTCTCTTCATCATTCTTTCTTAATCATTCCAGAGAAATGAGTTTGTCATTTTGAGATATGTATGTACATTTTTTGTTTGGGGTGGGAGTGGAGGGGAACAAGGGGTTACTATTGCCTTGTTTCCATGGAGATGTCACAGCTTTGCCTAGAAGGATTTACAAAAGTGCATTAATGTTCTATCTTGCATTACCCAGTTACAGTTTATTACCATCTTATCTACGTGGACATTGATAAGCTTAATGTCACTTGGTGGAACATCCCAGCTAAAAATATCTTGAGATGAGCAAGTGACAGACCCTCCACCACAAAAGTTATACTACCTCTTTAAAACGCTATTGGTACAGAAAAAAATAAATTATAAATACAGCAGCTTTTCTTCAAAGTATTTAATGCAACAGTATTATTCATATGAACCATCTCCAACTCACAGTCTGAGGACCTCAGGGACTGGCCCCCTGCTGGTGCCCAGAGTCACGACTAAACACGGGGAGTCAGCGTTTCAGTTTTATGCAACTAAAACCTGGAACTCTTCCTGAACATGTGAGACAGGCCTCTGCTCTGACTAAGTTTAAATCCAGCCTAAAAACTGTTCTGTTTAGCTGCTTATGTCTGAAAGGGTTTTGGTCCACACTTTTCTCTTTTAATGCAAATTTGATGATTATTATATGTTTTTTATGCTGATTATTTAAATCTGTATAGTAATTTTTATGTCTTTCTTATTCTGTAAAGCACTGTGAATTACTTTGTGTACAAACTGTGATACAGAAATAAACTTGCCTTGCCTTCTATAATGTCGATCTCAAAAATGTTGATACCGGAATAGGTACCAAAAACTCATCGGTACCCACCTTTCAAGTACCAAAACCAAAGGAAACACTCTCTGTCAACTTCTGACTTAATAGATGGATAATAAGGTCAGCACAGTCAGAAATATAAGAAATAGGAAGTTTCCAACAAACTGCATCATGTTAAACAGCAAGTAAAGAAGCAACATAAACCTCAAATTTTAACTTTCCCTTTATAAAAGTGTGTATCTGTATCAAAAACTGTTCATGTTTTTCTCTCAGTTTTTAGTCTGAATGGGTTGCTTTGTCCTGTATGCATGTTGTCCACAAATTAATTATTCACGTGTGGCGCAACCATTAAGAAAAACTGAAAATTACAGCTTTGCCATTGAATAAGGACATGCACACTCCTGCTATAATCAAAGCCAATAACTCAAATTTTCTTACTTGAATGAAACCGCACTGATTGTCCCTGTCAGTCTCGCTGGGGTCCAGCCTTCTCTTGTTCTATAATAATGGAATCCAATTTAGACCCTTGTCTCTGTATTGTTCAGAAGAAGCACCAAAACAGACTGTTCTTCCTCTGGCAGTTACAGCTCATTAGAAGAAGAGAGAGTCAATTTTCCCAGAACTCCGTGCACATCATGGCGCCTTTTCAAACATTAGTCATTGTAAACAGACACCAGCCACTGTTATTTAAAACTCACTCACACTGACAGGGGATAATCGTATGTGCCATATTTTATGATTCATGTGAACCCAAACGAACAGCAAAAAATCAAGAGGTGAGGAAAAAAAGAATCAGTACTTGCACTACCTCAAAACAACATGAATAAAAGTACTCAAAGGACTTACTTGAGTAAAAATACTTTCATTAGTCCAAGTAGGAAATATGAAAGTTTGCAGACAAATATATTTGATTTCTCATAAATAATTAATTGCTAATTTTTAGGGCTGTAGGCCTGTAGTCGTTTAGTTGGTCAATGAATTGGACAAAGCCATGTTGTCTTAGTCCCATTTTGGATGGGATCCGAGGGCAACTGATCATCATTTAAATCCCAAAATTTCTTACGATATACGTTCACAAACATTTGATGTTTTGATGACAACAACTACACCAATAAAATAGGAACATTGAGAAATAAATCTTCATCCTATTTAGGTTATAAACATGCTTGAACTTATGAATTTTATTGCGATGCTTTTGTGGAGGACGATAGTGGGCTCTTGGGATATTTTCATAACAATAAGCTATTAAACTTTGACAAACTTTGTCTTAGGCGATCTAGATCTGTATTAGCTGACACATTTATTAACCACAGCAGAAAGGAGAAATTAGTGAGTGAGTTAGATGAAGATTTGTGTTCTTTGTATTTACTAGTAAAAAGACTATCTGTCTTTAGAAATACATTGTTTATTTCAAAATTAGTTATTTTTGCATGAACTACTGTGCAGTTGGTCGATCAGTAGGAAGATTACTAATTACTGAAATATTAATAGTCTTTTCAGGAGCGGTTTACAATTAAGATAAATTATTCATTCACCTCCTCAGTGATAAAGGGAGCAGTGTCTTGCTGTAGGGCACAATGGCATTATGCAAAGCCAGATGTCAACTTTACTTTGGGTTAGTGGGTGAAAGGCTCTATTTGAGATACTACTACTACTACTCCCATTCAAAGTGATCATGACTCATTCTAGTGCTACTACCACTACAGGTGTCAGGTGGTGTGAGATGTCAGTTGTGAGATAGTGGTGAAAATGTGTTAATAGTATAGTAGTAAATCTTTACATTTTGTGATATAGAGTGTTTGAGCACCTTGAAACGTGCTATATTTCAAGGAATCACTCACCTATTCATGGGACTGTGGCTGTGACCGCTCTACCAACAATGTTTATTCTAAATTTAAAGGAGAATACACAATATACAATGCACTTTTAGTTACTTTCTCCATTCCCTAAACACAAGGCTGTATAAACTGAATTATTTGGGTGCATTATGTGTTTGTAGAGTCGTACCGTGCTTCTCTGTGCTGAGTGAGTGCAGTAGTTTCTCCTGTTGGTCTAAACGCTGTAGGAGATCGGCCTGTTCAGAGTCTCGGCTGTGCCTCAGGGCCTTCAGCTGATCCTTGGTGTGCTGATGCTGCCTCTTCAGACTCTGCTCTCTTTTGTTACGCTCTCGCACCTCCTCACAAAGCCAGCGCACCTTCGACTGACGGGGGAAAAGGAATCAAAAGATCAGAAATGGCTCCGTTTGTATCTTAAAGGTGCACTATATACGGTAACTTTTCTGGTGGAGGGTCAGTAACCCGTTTGTTTCCATAGAGATTGTATTGCTTTGCCAAGAATGTTCCACAGGGTGACGTGAATCTCATCTCTCTATGTAGACAAGCATGTGATTCCACCAGGCAAAGTTACAGATCATAAACAAAGCTGTGTTAAAGGCTCCCAGAAAATCGGTGCATTGTTGACTTATCGGTGCACATGAACACTGAATATTTCACACAAATCAACCTACTTTATATTATATTTTAGCAGTGAAACTTTTCTCAAATTCTCCATAGCAATGAATGGGATTCCCGCTTAACTGGAAGTACCACCACAAAAAAGTTCAGTTTAGTAGTAGCTAGAGGCAAAAGTGGACAGGGCGGAATGGAATAATGTTAATTGATACTTTGAAGTGACATCATGCTGGGGGTGTTCTTCCTTTGTTCTACCTTTTACCTCTATTGGGAGAAATCAGCAGTTACCATGGTGACACAATGCACAGACCAAAAAGGTTAAGATGTAATAGTTTAAGATAAAATACAAATAAAACATTTTCAGGAGCCTATATCAATACAAGAGTCCATGGTCCTGTTTAAGTGTTAAGATTTTCAACAAAAAGTTCAGAGTGACTAACTAAAAAAAAACAAAAACAAAAAAAAACTGACTAGTGTTAGTTATCTTTTTGTGACTGGAATTTTAAGTGTAAAAAACTTGTTTAACAGCACACATCATCTCACCTGTTGTAGTTCCAAACATATTCAGCTCCTTCTGGTCATATTGTGATAAAATAAAGCTCAATTTAAAGTCTAACTTCAGAAACAACTTCAGACAGAGCAGTGCCTACAGTTATTAAGTATCATCACCCTAAGTATCAGATTTTTTGGATAATCCTAGGTGATAAATTTGAAAACACATGACTGCACAACAATTTTTAAAATGTATTCCTGTGAGTGCTGAGGGATGAGTATCTTCTAGCAGGGAAAATCAAAGTTCCTGGTTATATAAGCCCTCTAATTGAATAGAGCAGTGTAAGCACCATGTTATGCTCATCATGTCACGTGTTAATCCTGTGTTCTCTCCATTATGTGAAGGATCGGATGGAAAGCCGCATTCGCTGCTTTAAATCCTTACCTTTGTCTCAGCTAACCAGCGGTGGGGGTCTCGCACTAATCCAGGCTTCTGCAAGATTGCCTGTTAAAAGAGCAGGAAAAAGACACAAGTGAGTCACGTTGGCAGCGTTTCAAAGAAGCACTTTCTACAGAACGCATTCGTCGAAATTTGAAAATAATTAACTTGACATTTAGAAAATCAGAAATAAATTTGTGCAGTGCATTTGGCAAAAACTAAAATGCATCCTCCATTATCTGTTATGGCTGTTTAGGTAACCAAGAGAGACTGTGTGAAATAGAAGAACTAATGAGATGAGTGATGAGGTGAGTCTTGGAAGTGAAGAATTAGAAAGTTGAGGAATAAACCATTTGTACTCAACTTTTTAACAGATTTATACTGTCAGTGGTAAAAGACATTAGCAGGTAACATAATAGCTTTATGCATTTAGGAATGACCAACGAAAAGAAAATTGACCAAGCTTTGCATACAGTTTTGTACCATTATGTGTTACCATAAAATACAGATTGAAGGTTGAAGTATTGTATTGTTGTGAAGTTGCTACAGTATGTTTGGTGAAGCAAAGGTTTTCTTCAAATCCAAGAAAAAAATAAACAAAAAATGGTACTTTGACTTGTCTCAACTTTTGCCCACACAATTGAACACTTTGTTTCTTGTTTGGGTGTGTAGAGCAACTTAATTAAAAATAGATTATTTTGCCTATTAAAAGCCTTGACAACATTAAAACCTAAAAAACTAGAAAAAAAACAACAAAACAAAACATGAATTTCAGTTTTTAAATGCTCGATCCAGCTAACATTAAAGTGCTTCTATGTGTAACAGTAATTGCACTTCAGACCAAATCCCACACACACACTCACACACACGCACGCACGCACACACACGCACACACATTGGGCTCCTGCTTGTGTTTGTGTGTTGTCAAAATGAGCTCTGGGAGAATGTTCCCTGATCCATCTGAGACAAGCGTGTCAGCATCAGACATTCAAACTGTGAGCCAGCTCCTAATGACTGCTGACACAACACACACACACTGGCTTGGGGTAATCACACAAACAAGTGCACACCCACACACACACACACACACCCACACACCACACACACACCCACACACACCCACACACACACACACACACACCACACCACACCACACACACACACACCACACCACACACACACCCACACACACACCACACACACACACACACACACACCCACACACACACACACACACACACACACACACACACACACACACACACACACACACCACACACACACCACACACACACACACACACACACCCACACACACACCCACACACACACACACACACACACACACCACACACACACCACACACACACACACCACACCCACACACACCACACACACACACACACACACACACACACCACACACACACACACACACACACACACCACACACACACACACACACACACACACACACACACCCACACACCCACACACACCACACACACACACACACACACCCACACACACACACACACACCCACACACACCCACACACACCACACACACCCACACACACACCCCACACACCCACACACCCACACACACCACACCACACACACCCACCCACACACACACACACCACACACACAGCCTAAACAAGGTCCTTTACTTTATTACAGTACCACATGCATTTGTCAACTAAAGGTAAAGGAAGGTTTCCATTGTAGAAGATTATGAGATACTGCTTGCCTCCGTTATCCAAACTTTAGCAGCATTCTCACCAACATTGCAAAGAGTTTATAAGAGCTTTTCACAACTTTCAGAGGCAGAGAGCAGGGTTTTGGTCTGATGGTAATGTTAATAACAACTAGCATGCTAACAGCACACTAGCCTTACTTCTACTTTAAAAGTTTTGTAATTATTGAATTGAAGAAGCCAATTCACTCAAAAATATTTGTTCAGTTGACAGAATTCAATTTTTCTTTTGCTTTATAATTAGATGCAAACAACACGGCAGTCTCAGTTTGACCCCAGCAGCTGCTTTTGCAATATCTCTGTACAGAGGCAAAACTAACTGTACATAATTACATACTACCTTGTGTAATTGTGTGTCGAATTCATATTTCTTGCAAAATAAACACAAGCCAGTAAAGCTTCTGTTTTTATAACAAACTCCATTACATCCCTAGCCCACAGGCTTGGTGATTACCCAAAGTCAGAATAAAATGAGTTGATATGGTTAATCCTAGTTGTCCTATGTAAATGCAGAGTTCTAACAGCAATTGTTATTCAGGTCTGGACAAATGGAACTTTCAAACTGCTTAAAATGTCCTAGCAGGTTTTATAATAAAAAGCCAGCCTGACTGGAGGCTACAGCTGCAGTGCAGTCTATAAAATATAAAGTAGCTGTACGTCTATTGTAGTTTTAGACATGGGTCTGCAAGTGCTCCACAACTGACAATATACTTTGTCCTGGAGGGAAAGTCTAAAGGTTCAGGCCATAAGCTGTTTGAATTTTGAAAGAAACTCTGCCATACTGCGAGATTATTGTATTGTAGTGTGCACAAAGAAAAAGTGATGATCTTGCTCGCCTTGAACCAGAGTCTCTGCAGTGAAGAGAGAGGAAAAGGCAGAAAAATACGGCAGAAAAAAGGCAAAGCAGAAGTAGCTCTCCTCTGACTATAGGTGCAGACCTGCTCGCACCCCCACTCAGAATCATGAAAAGGCTAATGCTACGGCCTGCTTTCCTCAAGTGCCCCTCATGGCTCCGTGTTTACACATGATCCACAGTCAGCGGGAGCATTTGGAGCTTTTTCTGTCCTTTGCTTTGGTAAACAACGCCGGCGCTGCACAGGTGTCAAGCCATTTTCCCCACAACGTCACTCAAGTTCAGTTCCAAGCAAAATGAATATCCCAGAGATGTTGCCACGGTAGCTCAAAGCGTCTGAACGGCTCACAGCTGTGTAGAGGCCCCCATCACGGGCGTGTGGCGGAGCGTGTGATTGTGTGGGTGGATAAAACATGGCGCTACGATTCTTTTTACTCTTCCCACAGAATCAAAGGCAGCAGCAGCACGGGCAGGCAAACAGGAGGTGGAAGTGTTGAGAAGGTGGAGAAAGCTGCAGGTTCAAAGTGCTGTCTACTGAGTTAAAGTGAAAAAAGGCCAAAAGTGGAGGTAATCTGGAGTCTGCCCCAGCTAACAAGCAATAGCACAGGTTATGTCTCTTTTAAGCTCAGAGTGAACGTGTGACTTTCTCTGACACCAGTGGTACAACAGTGAGTTAGAGAATGGGGAGTATGCCAAAAACTTATATTAGAATTTTCTTACAGTCTAATCAGGATTTAGATTTTTATTACAATTAATATTTTCTTAGTATCTTTTATGCAGTCTTTAAAGAGCACATATTACACTATTTCTCATCTATGTTATAATGTTGTTTAATCATCAAAAACTTTATATTATTCACCTGGTTTAGGTCAATGTTCCTCAGATGCTGGACGATGTTCAGCTCCACCTGCATTTAAATAAGATCACTATAGCGCCCCCTAACATAGACGTGAACCATTATCTAATTTGGAGTCATCTAAGGCTGCGTTCAGACTGCAGCCTGAAGTGACCCAAATCCGATTTTTTGGCCCCTATGTGATCTGTATCTGATCTTTTAATGACAGTCTGAACGGCACAGATCCGATTTTTTCAAATGCGACCCAGACCACTGGGATATGTGCTCCTAAAACTGATACATATCTGATCTTTTGACATGCGACTTCAGTGTGAATGGCCAAAGTGCATTCATCCACCTACAAGTTATCAACAAGACACAACGTCACTATTCTGCGCTGAAGTAGGCGAAAATTGTTAATGAACTCCGTGTCACTGAAGCGAAGCACATCACCACTCACCACTCTTGACTCCGTCTCCACATCCACACGTTCCTTTCAACGGACGCTGCCGCTGCTCCACAAAACACCACGACCAAAAACCTCGTCCTTCTCCTTCTCAATCTCCTCCTTAAAACAAGTAAGTTGTTCATGTTCTGGCTCCGTTACGAGAGGAACTTTAAAATCTCCAGGTGCTCGATGCTGCGTCCATGTTTGGACAACTTCCGTAAACACAGAGCACGCTCGCTGCGGTTGACGTCATCGTGTCTCCAGTGCACATGCGGGACACTTTTGGGCCGTTTACTGTTCACACAGGGGATCGAATACAAGTCGCATTTAATTGAAAATGTGAACGACCTCGCAAAAACATCGGATTTCACAAAAAAATCGGAATTGAGCGTTAAGCCCTGCAGTCTGAACGTAGCCTAACTTATCCAACATTAACTTTCTATGCATAAGAAAAGTAACTACACATACATCAAAGTTAACTACACATACATCATGCAAAATTTATAATGTAATAATTGCTTAGTTGATAGCAATCTGTGTTTTTTTTTTTTTGTCTTAATAACTTAGAATCTGAATTGAATTAAGTCTCGGTGGCTTTCTAATATTGCTGTTCATTGCATTGCATTATCACTGCAATTCAGTAAGGGACTATTTTCTTGTTCTTTTGAATTAAAACAAAATAAGAAAAAAAAAAGTTGTGCTCACTGATACTTCACTACAACAGTTTTACCTCCATTTTGGCTGTGGCAACAAGAACTGGGAGAAAAGAGGTTATCTTGGGGTAACTGCAAACTAATACAGCCCTTAACTGTTAATGATTCCCCTCATTAAGCCAATCAGGGGCGAGTTTGACTTCTTTTCACTATGACAGATTACAAATGAGGCGCGGCACTGGCTCAAATATCCGGGTGGAAGACTGCTGGCTGAGATTAGCAAATCCATATCAGCAGATAAGAGCTGGCTAGGTTCATTAGCCCTGAGCGGCAGAAGGAACCAGTTTAAGAAGCAGGAATAAGAGGGCACGGGGATCATTCTGGGGCTACATTATAGAGTTGGGATTCCTTTATCACTGTGAAATGGTCAGAATAATTTGAACTTGGAACTGATTAAAGGGTCAGTAACTTTTCTGGTGGGTGGTCTGACACTGTTTTAACTCCGTAGAGATAGTATTGCTTTTTGCCTAGAATAGTCCACAGTCTGACATTAAATTTATAAATTTTGTCCTTATTTAATTACAGCCAAGTATTTGTAATCTCAATCTTTAGTCAGGGCAGTCATGTGTGATGTCACATAATACTTGAAATTGCAGTAGCTAGTTATTTTGACTGCTTTTGAAGATAAAGCTGCAAATTCACAAAAAAAGGAACCAGGAACGATAAGCAATGCTATTAAAACACCATATACACAGTAGGAATGTAATAATATTCTAAATATCACAATATCGTATCATCAAAAGTTTCACAATATTATCATGGGCCATCACAATATAGCAAATTCCAAGTTTCTTTACTTAAATACATTGTGATCATGCAGCAACAGTTAAAAAAACTACATAGACCATGATCCTTTGCTTTGTTTCAGTATAATCTACATGATGAAATAACTGTTATTAAGCACTTTTAAATCATAATTCTTTTGATTATGACAGAAAAGTAGCATATTTACAATTATGTAATCGTCCACAAAATATTCCAATAAATATCCTACCGTGAGATACGCAAAATTTGGATATCATTACATCCCTAGTACACAGTTAATTAAAGCAAATCTAAGACAGAATAGTGTATGTACCTGTAGTTTATCTTCTCCGTTCTTGTGGAGTTGGCGGCAGGCGAGATCCAGTTCGTCTCCCAGGGCTGTGAGCACGACCTCTTGTTCTTCCTCCATCTTAGACACCTTTTCCTTCAGCAGGATCAGCTCCGACTCTGATGTGCGTCTCCTTTCATTTGACCTGACCTGAACAGAGCAGAGACAACAGCCCATCACATGTGAGATTTCTTTTAGTACAAATTTTCAAAGATGGATTCAAAAAGAAAAAAGGGAAAATTGATTTACAATATGATCATGAATTACACCTGAATTGTGCCATTTGGAAAGGAATGCAGAGAAACCCAGAGCAGCGCCTTCTTTCATTTAACCTGACCTTAACGCAGCAGAGACAACAGCCCCAAATCAGCCCTGTGAGAGGTTATTTAATCAGAGTTTCAAAGACTAATTCAAAAAGAAAATGTGAAATTTACTTACAGTATGATTATGAATTACTTCTGAATTGTGCTGTTTTGAAAGGATTTGAGTGCAGATGATATGGTTTACAATTGCTGTTATTTACGCCTAACGACAGTTTCATTTTAAATCTATTATACAAGAACTACAGAAAATGGTCAGCTACTTTGTAAACTGTTTTCTCACTCAGTTTCAACATTTAACCTACATTTTAAGTATTTTGTACAGACATCAGTAGATAAAAGTCCCACAACATTCAACATTATCACTGCATAGTAGGGATGGGCATTCGATGAAATTTTCTTAATCGATCGTCGGAAGAATTAACGATCGATTATCGATTAATCATTAACGTTTTTATATTAAAATGATCATCGTTATTATTACTATCTGCACTACTAATCTGCATAAATAAATTAAACTTTACGACATATAAACCGTAACGACTCTAGAGCCACATCAATCTGTTTGACATTATAATGTGTTTAATTCAGTTTTGCGCAACTCTCACAGAAACGAAACTTAAAACCGCATCGCTAATTTGCATAAACTCAGCGAAGATAAAACTACAGCTCTTGTGTTGCTGATGCGGTCAATTTCTGTTGGATTAAAAGACATGATTCAGTGTACAGGTTAGTGTGACCATATTTGCGTTTATCAAAACCAGGACACCGTACGGGGGTGGGAGGTTGGGAATCGTCATCGACATTGCGCGACTCTCACCTGGTAAAACTTTTTCCCACTGGACACCGAAACATATGTGCTGCTTTGTACACTGTGCACAAGGACTCCCACTTGTCCCGAATGCAACAGAAAGCGTAGAATTTCTTGTACAAATCATTGTTAAATACACATTTGTGCTTCGGTACGCTGCAGACTGACCGAATGTTTGTGTTTGCTTGCTCCTTCTGAGTGCAGAGACACATGTACAGACCCGTTTGGTCAGGCTAAGCACAGCAACCTACATTCGGTTTGTCGATTAAAATTAATGTAATCGATGAAATTCTTAATGATCAATTATCGATTAATCGATTAATCATGCCCATCCCTACTGCATAGTATTACCAAGTTCCTGCCACAGTTGCATGACAGAAGTATACAGTCCTCTTTGCAAGGTTTCAAATTTTAAAGTGAATGTTTTTACACATTTATGAATTACTCATTGAAATATATTTAAGGGTCCATATTATCCATATTTCAGATTTATGTTATGTGTTGTTTCTCAATCAAAAACAAAACTGGGGTTGTGTTTTGTTTTATTCACACGTACACAGAAATCTTGCATATTTAGGACGTGTTCTTTTCTCAAATGGAAAACACTCTGCTCCACTTTGTGATGTCATGTGGTAATACAGGTGCTGCACTGTGTTTTTAAACTCAATAAACTTCACTAGAATCATCTGAATACTTTCAGCCTTAGAATTACCAATCTCCACTTAACTTAAAAGGTTAATTGTAGCTATTAACTTGAAAACTACCACCTCATGACATCACAAGGTAGAACAGAGCATTTTGAACTTTGGAGATGTAGACAGACTAATAATACAGTATTACTCAAACTTGTGTGAGTGAAACAAAACACTGCAGGTATGTTTGTGGTGAGGTAACATTATCACATGGCTTAAAGCTCACAAGAGTCATTTTTGTGTAATATAGGGTGCTTGAACATCTATTTTCATTATTGTCAAGCAAAAATAATACAAAAGTTGAATGATAATGTTAGTAACAAACGTATTCATGAGAACCACTTCCCCGATCCAGGCTAAATAATAACATAATAAAACATTTGTGCATCAGTAACTGGGCAGGTTATGACAAAATAACCTGGCTCCCTGTCAATCACCTGGACAAATATTTGAAAAAACAGCCAAAAGTTGCTGTGAGGACATCTTACTCCACATGGCACATAGCATATGACTCATCCACAATCCTGTCTTTTCACGTCAATACTTTCAGGGTCAGTCGATGGGAAAAGACATAGGGACCTGGATCATTACACAGTCCCCTGACAATAAACCACCTATGCAGTAACATTAATAAGAGCCGCTTTTTCTGCTTTCACTTACATCAGATCAATACATGGATCCCCAATAGAGTCCCTAGTACTTATCAGCGGTCTGTCAGTTGAGGGAATAGTGTTCAATACTTCATCTGTAGTTATAAAACACCTGAAGACGTGATAATAAAATGCTTTTAAAAATACTGCTGATTTGGCATGGCTGCACCTTTGCGAGGTTTTGGAGATGTGCACAGAGTGGATTTATGAAGGTGAAAAGTCTGTTATCTAAAGGCAATGGAGCTGTAGATATGAAATTGGGTATGCCTCAAACAACGTTACACCAAACATTGTTGTCACCTCGTACGTTTATATAGTATTATTGAAGAAGGTTACAGCTTTTTGTTTGTTTTTTGTTCTTACTCGCAAACAATCTTCTGAGTATGGGCTTCTGGAGAAAAAATCTGCCAAGTAGTCACTAGGGTTATCAAACGTATGGGAAATTGATACTAAAACTGGTATCGAAACTAGATACTTGTTTGAGGTAGTATTGATACAAACAAATTCACATTAACAGGACAGAAAAACACCTTTCCTGAATAATCTTGATCCGTATCAGAACAAGTATAAGATCACATATACCTGGACGACTGAGGGATTCCACAGATATAAGACCACATGGTAATATGAAAGAAAGTACTGGTACTACAGTTTAACATCGAAAATGACATTCTACTGTTTTTGTGGTATAGTGGTCCCTCGTTTATCGCAGAGTTACGTTCTAAAAATAACCTGCGTGAAATCCGCAAAGTAGTCAACTTTATATTTCACAATGATTATATCTGTTTTAACACTTTTCTCACACAGGACAGTTACAACCCTTTTGCATCCTTCTTAAAATTTATTGCTGCTGTCGTCCTTAGGTTATTTTTCTCCTTCTTTATGTAATGAACCGAAGATTAATTTATTCCGTAATGGAGCCCCACAGCGCAGGGTCCCGCACGGGTCTGTTTTTGGAGATTCGCACCTGCACAGTACAGCACCGCACCCGCCCGTTAACCCGAGATTATATCAAACTTTTGCGCTGCATATGCCACGGACTGAACCAAGACTAAACCAGGACTAACCCAGGACTAACCCAGGACTAACCCAGGACTAACCCAGGACTAACCCAGGACTAACCTAGGACTGATTCAGGACTGAAGAGGTGGACTACACCAGGACTGAACTAGGACTAAAGCAGGACAAACCAGGAGTAAACCAGGAGTAAACCAGGACTGAACCAGGACTGAACCAGGACTGAACCAGGACTCACGATCGGGACAGGCTCGGAGGTGACCACAGGAGAAAGGACCGACTGAGAGCTCCGCACCTCATGGAGGTAAGTGTAGCAATTGCCCAATCATGCTGCACTTCAGAATCACACTGTGATCGAACATTTATGTAAATTTGGCAGCTGAACGCATTCTGTACTGTACAGGAGTCACGGCACGGAGGAGATTGATTGACAATGGTCTACAGCCAATCAAGACTCAGGGGGAGGAACACACACCAAAAAAAAAGCATGCAAAATTTCACCAAAAAAAATCTGCGAAACAGCGAGACCATGAAAGGTGAGGGACGACTGTATTTAAATCTGTATTGAGTATTGAGTCTATTCCTTAGTATAGAATGTTTTTAGAATCATGACATTACTAGTCACCATGATTCACAATGACACCTCCTGAATAAAAATAAAATACATAAATGAAAAAGCTAAGCCAGTTACCAGTACAAAGAGGTGTTACTGGGTTTGACTTGTATAAAATGCCTTTATGAGAGATATATACTTTTTGAAGCTAATGGACTAGCTAAATCTCCATTAATAAGACACCAACCTTGTTTGTGGCAGTGCTAAAGGCTGTAGATTAAGATTTATTATGGAAGGTGCTACTGACGCTTATTTACAACTTTTCAACAACAGAAAAAAAGGTTATAATGCTATTCACTTTTTAAAAGACATGTGCCATAGATTGATAGATACAAATTTTCTATAGTATGCATTGATCAGGTATTTGAAACATTTTTTTTTCTGAGCATTGTTGTTTGACACATATTTAGTTTTCTGTATGAAAAGGTTGACAGAAGTGAAAAAACTCACTGTTTGCAGGCACAGCAAAGAGTAAAGCAGATCATATTAGGCAAAAACAATAAACAAACAACATTTAGGTCATGGAGGAGAAAATATGCAAGACTAGCCAATCAAGTGTGTAATGAAACAAAACAGAAATCTGCCCTATATGACTTTGACAACAGATGCCTCATAACACTGATAGAAGCTCAAAGTAGCAGATAACTAGACTTAAAATACAACTGCCTTAAGAGTTTAAGAAAATGTCTGAATTATAAGCCAATCCTTCTTTTATCCCTGAGTCCACTGTGCTCTGTGTTGTTTTATATCAGATAACACAGCAAACTCAAATTTCAGTAAAGGCGAGAGAAAGTTGCAGAGTCAGTGAAACAGCGCTGCCAAATACACACTTGTATCTTTACAGCTTGTCTTCTCATGTCCTTGGACCTCCGCTGTCACAGTTAATTAGAATCAGCACAAATACTGTACGACATCAACCCAGGGAAAAGATATGCCTTTTACAATCCGAAACCATGACGCTGGAAATTCTGCTATCGGTGCAAGTTTTATTTTGAAAAAGGTACATTATGCTCCTTTTTTTTTTGAGTTCTTAAGCATTTTGTTGCATCCTCACTGCAAATACACCTACAGTGTTATTGTGTTTCATTTGTGCATGCTTTCGGTAATACAGAGTATTTAGGACTTTTTAGAGCTCATATTACCCTAATGTTAGAATGTTGTCCTCATCAAAAACATACCTGGAGTTGTGTTTTGTTTCATTCACACATGTTTAAAACACAAACCCTGCACATTTACACTGAGTTATTCCACGCAACCACTCTGTTCTACCTTCTGATGTTATGTAGTAATACAGGTAATACAACTCCACTGTGTTTTTAAACTCCATACACCTTCATTTAAATAATTTTAGCCCTGGAATTGCCGATCTCTACAAAACCAAAGGTAAAAGGTAGCTGTTAAGTTGAAAACTGCCTCATAACGTCACAAAGTGGAACAGAGAATTGTGTCATTTGTTCATTCGTTTTTCAAGATAAAACCAAAAATAAGAAAAAAAAAAAAAAAAACAGCAACTATTTTCTTTTTTATTTGTCTCCAGAACCAAAATGAAAAATCGGATAACAATTTGTTTTTTTCAGTTTTCGATTTTGTGTTTAAATGAAAAATGGTAAAAACAGATAACGGCCGTTTCCTGTGTACGTGACCTAAGCTGCAATGCCGGACTGAACCAGAATTGAGCCAGGACTAAACTAGGTCTAAACCAGGACTGAGACCAGGACCAGACCACGACTGAGATCAGTCCTGGTTCAGTCTGGCATCACAGTTTAAGTAACGGAAACGGGAAACGGCTGTTATGAGTTTTTCCATTATTCATTTAAACACAAAATTGACTGAAAACTGAACTATGTTGGAATTTTTTTTTTTTTTTTAGTTTTCTTATTTCTGGTTTTATATTGAAAAAGTGAAAGAAGGAATGATACAAGGATTTACTGAAACAAAAGTGACTGAAACCAAAGCACATCATTATTCCATTCCATTCCATTTTCTTCCGCTTATCCGGAGCCGGGTCGCGGAGGCAGCAGTCTAAGCAGGGACTCCCAGACCTCCCTTTCCACACACACTTCCTCCAGCTCTTCTGGGGGGACCCCAAGGCGTTCCCAGGCCAGCCGAGAAACATAGTCCCTCCAGCGTGTCCTGGGTCTTCCCCGGGGCCTCCTCCCAGTGGGACATGCCCAGAACACCTCCCGAGGGAGGCGTCCAGGAGGCATCCGGAAAAGATGCCCGAGCCACCTCAACTGGCTCCTCTCAACGTGAAGGAGCAGCGGCTCTACTCCGAGCTCCTCCCGTGTGACTGAGCTCCTCACCCTATCTCTAAGGGAGCGCCCAGCCACCCTGCGGAGGAAACTCATTTCGGCCGCTTGTATCCGCGATCTTGTCCTTTCGGTCACTACCCAGAGCTCATGACCATAGGTGAGGGTGGGAACGAAGACTGACCGGTAAATCAAGAGTTTTGCACATCATTATAACATGGCTTAAAGCTCACAAGAGTCAATTTAGTATAATATAGGCCCTTTTAAATGCCACTACATTGTAAAAAGTTCCTTCATGTTTTTAAAGTATTTTTATAGTCCATAATATTATGTTAATTTCATAGCTCAAATTGTTTAATCATTTTGACAATAGCTACAACTATCTTTGCTGCATATAAGCTACATAATTTAATAGCACAGCAGATGAAGTCCTAGCACACCCTATTGGTATTTTCAATCATGTCATACTGATTAAAGCTTTGAGGTTCTTCCAAAACACAAACATTTATACTTAAACAACAGGAAGCATCAATGGTGTCCTAAGCAGCCCAAATATAAAGCACAATACAGAAAATTTAAAGGTGCGCTGTGTAGCTTTTCTGGAGAGAGATGAGCCACCAGCTTGTCTCCATGAAGATGTTATTGCTTTGTAGGTAATGTTCCACAGTATGGCATTAAATGTACCTAAATGTATCTCCAAGCAGGTGCAGATGATGCATCAGAGACAAGTTACAGGTTAGATCTGTCGAGAGGCGTCACAGGAAGAAGGCATATTTTTCAAGGTATTTTTGAGCAATAAAAATATTTGTAATTGAACAAATACAAAAATGAATGGTTTACTGCTGTACTGTGGAACATTTAAAGCAAATAACATAGTTTCTCTCAGCTATAACTCCATGGTGACAAGGATGTAGTGGACCAATCATCAGAAAAGTTCCACAGCGCACCTTTAATACGGATTGTGATGTTGAGTTGAGCGTGGGCAGGTCTTGCTTACTTTGTGGTCCAGTTCTTCTCGCAGGAGCTGGTGCTTTCTCTGGAGGTGGGAGTGTGCTTCTTCCTTTGAGCTCAGTTGCGCTGCCAGTTTATCGCACTCATCTTTCATCCTGTCCAGTTTGATGCGCAGCCCCTCACACAGCTCTCTGTCGGAGGCTGCATCTGCCTGGTACAGAGGAGATGTGGACATAAGCAATCATTTACTGCTATAAAAGCCACTGGGCGATCCGGCGGGGAAAGCAAACCCAACATAAAACAAGTTGATAGGGTTTTTAAAAGTGTAATAGATCTACACGGACGCAATGGCTTAATTATTTCATGGAATGCGTGTAAAGCTGTGTTGTTCCACTTTAAGTACTTCGTTTGGTTGAGTGTGTCTATAATGAGTTTTAATTGAGTGTTAAACCAAGCCACTAATGCAAATGCAAAGGGAACACAATATGAGGAAAATGTGATATGTAATGAGAATTATTTAATGTTAATAAACCAAATAACATGGATTCTGATGTAACTAAAATGTACATGCAGTATTTTTTCTAGGTAGACTGTGGCCCAGACCAAAACAAAGCTAATTTTGGATTTCATGAAGTGTTTTTTTTTTTTTTTTTTTTTTACGTTAACAGGGCCCATATTACTCTGTTTTCTGATGTGTGTATAATGTTGTTTCCTCTTCACAAACATATCTAGAGCTGTGTTTTCTTTCATTCTTACGTAACACACACACATTTTTGGGCTGAGTTCTTCTCTCAAACAGAAAACACTCTGTTCTTCCCATGTGATAATACAGGAAGTGCTCCACTGTGTTTTTAAACTCCATATAATTTCATTTGGATGATTTCAGCCCTGGAATTACCATTCTCTATTGAACAAAAGGAAAAAAGGTAGCTGTTAACTTGAAAAGTACCACTACATGACATCACAAAGTAGAATAGAGCATTTAGAGCTTTGGAGATGTAGACAGATTAATAAGAAAGAATTACCTAAACATGTGTGAATGAAACAAAGCCACAACTGCAGGTATGTTTTTGATAAGGTAACAGCATTTCAACATGGCTTAAAGCTCACAAGAGTTAATTTTGTGTAATATAGGACCTTTAAATAAAAAAGGTACATTTCTGTCACAGCTATTTGAAAAGGGCTTCACTAGCTCCTGGCTATTGCCCCTCCTCTCTGGGACAAATTGCCTCCTTCCCTTCGTTCTTTGGACTCTGCGGATGCCTTTAAAAGCACCTAAAGACTTACCTCTTTGAGCAAGCATTTTAACCTTATTTATTTATATATAACTGTACCTTTGCTGCACACTTTTGATGACTTTTTACTGTGAAACACTTTGTGGATATATGTCTGTGAAAAGCGCTATATAAATACTTATTTACTTACTGTCGAATGTAGAACCTCAGCAATATATTTTGTTTCTTGCAAGATGGATAGTTGTGCTAGAGGTGCACAACTATCCATCCATTTTTCCATCAAATGCTTTTCTTCATGGATACATTATTGCTTTTTCTGGTATGTTTCACAGTATGGCATTAATCTTTCTATTCTGCCCTTCTAATTCTATAAATTAAGTTATTATAGTATGTTCAGATGTTTTGAACTAAGGTACTCTCACTAGCTATTGTTTTGGTGATTCTTAAATTAATATTCATAGAACTGACTTTCCCTCTTCTGTAAATTTAGGTATTATGTTAATCTTTATGGCCTCTTTACCATACTCCTTTGTAAAGATAATAAGAATACAAAAGCCAAAAAGGCATAAACAAAGTAGCAAAACACGTCTTCTGGAAATGGGTAAAGAAAAACAGATGGAAAACGTAGAACTATGACTTGAGGGGGGCATTAAAAGACGGATTAACATTGAGACAGTGAGAGGGAGAGGATAGAAATGGAGAAACGCAAGGACAAAAAATATACGAGTAGTTAAAGCTTTGCCTGACAGTCCACTGGATCTAAATCTCAACAGAAGCTTGGGGCGAAACTGCTCCAATATTGGGTGGGCCTCTTTGGGGACATCTGCTGCACCCTGAGGCGAGCATTTTACACATTCCAGCCTACGACCTTGTCCTTAGCGCACTTCACAAATGACACCATTACAATGAGCTATGTCAGATATTAATGTCATTTAGTGTGCGTTAATGGCCCAAACTGGAGCGTATCAGCGAGCACCATGCCCCCTTAAGAAATAATGTACCCACCAGGGCTCATCTTGGGAGATACCGACGGAGGAGTAGAGTCCCCTATCTCCCAACCAGCTTCGATGACGCTGGAAAGGTCTGATATCAGGCCTTTTTAAATATTCACGCTCGGAGCCTTGGAAGAACTGGAGTCCACGGGGCACTGCACACACTTAAGGAGCAGATATATCCTCGATTCACCCGTACTCCGAGGACAATGGAAGCAAAAGTGCACAAAATGAGGGTTTAGCCGGCGTAAATTTGCCAGATGTTTAGTGGCTGAGGCGTGTCTTCCATGTGCGGAATTTCAAACGGGAGCCCATGAGATCCGGAGTGTCAATTAAAAAGCGCTAAACCCTGATCCGTGTTTATTCTTTGCTTGGCTTATGACCTTGCCATCGCTCACGGATTTGACAGGAAGTGTGTGTGAAGTGGAAGATGCATAATTGAACGCCAACTGTGCTTTTGGAGGACGTTTGAGGTACATTCAAATGTGACAGAGGTAAAAAGCAGATGGGAGATGGGATTTTAACATGACAGAGACAATTATAGGCCGAGGTAAGAGCAGGGCCTGCACATTACAGGGTTTTTGTGCCTGTTTGAAGCTTCAGTCAGTCAATTAACTTGCTGCTATTTGATACAATTTTTCTTTTGTTGAGCAAATTGAAATTAAAAGTCAAGTTTTAATTCATTTGCTTTCACTGCTTTCAGAAAAAGCACAGAGCATCAAGTTTGATTAGGGCTGTAGTGACAATGAAATTGTTGAAATATAACAAGGGAAGTATCAAGGTTAAATTTTTTCCAATACTAGATAGATACTTTATTGATCTCAAAGGAAGTGCACAGTGTAACTTTTCTGGTGGAGGGTTTGTTTGCAGTTGTACTCCATGGAGATATTGCCTGGAATGTTCCACAGTATGACATTACACTTATTTATCTCTATGGAGACAGCAGATGACAGCACAGGGACAAATTACATGTCAGCTCTGTGGAAAGGCAAGCCCAGTCACAGTAAGAATGCAAATTTTTAGGTCAATTAAAACATGCTATTGAGTAAATAAAAATGTTTAATGCTATACCGGGACATTCCAGACAAAGCAATAACATTTCCATGGAGACAAGCAGGTGGCGGACCCTCCACTTTAAAATTACACAATGCACCTTTAGTGTTAGACTAAAGATATTAAAAGTTAAAGTTAGACTAAAGATTCTTTGGAGATTCTTAAATGTAATGGCAGTTAATGGTTTACAAACAGGGGAAGTTGGCACAAAATCACCATACAGACTATAAATAAACCCAACCACTGTACTGACGTCATATTGTATCACCTCATGGGCTGTGAATGTTGCCATTTGGTTAAATTTGCTCTGCATTTATTAGCACATTTAGACATATGTTGGCTTCTTATGTTATTAAACTGAAAATAAAGTCCAGATCTGACCACCTCTAAAGACAAACCAAATAGGCTAGCAGCTAATACTTTTAATAGTTAATAAATAGATATTCTTGTATCTGTGTTTATAATGCCGTTTCCTAATTAAAAACATACCTGGAGTTGTGTTTTGCTTCATTCACACATGTTTAACACATAAACCCTGAATGAAATGAAAGCTGAATGAAAGCTGTGTTCTCTCAAACTGTAAACACTCTGTTCCACTTTGTGATGTCATGTGGTACTTGAAAACTACCAGTTCATAACATCACAAGGTGGAATAGAGCACTATGAGGTTTTGGCAATAGATAGACTATTAATGCAGGATTATTCAAACATGTGTGAATGAGTCAATTTAGTGTAATATAGGACCTTTAAATGTATCTTTTCTGAACTGTAAAAGGGGCTATACCAGATTTCTTTCCTGCAATAAAATTTGTTTTGCCCCAGTTTAAATTTATTGTAAAAGCAGCTCTTGAGCTCAAAATGAGACCCTGGTGGGCTGTCTGCATCTGCGAATGAGGAAGTAATGGTGGTGCGTTGTTGCTAGAATTGGTGTGATGGCAAAACTGAATAATTAGGAAGCGAGGAATGCGTAAGGAAAGAGGGGAATATAAAGTATCAACATTGTAAACATCAGGTACACTGACCTTAGCAAATTGTATCAAGCAGTGACGGACTTACCTTGACTTCTTTCAGGTGTCTCTGTAGCTCATCTCTCTCCTGTGTGAAGAGTTTGAGCATGTCCTGAAGGTCCCTCTCCTTTTTGGACCTGTCCTCCTCCAGCGCTGCCTTTATGTTGATAACAAACAATATTCAGACGATATTTTAACAATGCATTGGGAAGCATCGCACAAAACATGAATGAAACATAAAATGAATCACAAAAGAGGAGAAATATCTCTCTGTACCCTTGTTTGGAAGATAAAATTGGTAGAAATGTTTAATGTTATTTTTAATTAACTCTTTTTTAAATTATAGATGATATACTCAATCTCCAGTCTCCAAAACAACAATTGCGATTAGTGGTGTCACAATATAAAATTTTATTTCTACGATTATTGCAAGAAAAAACACCACAATTTAAAAGATGCACTATGCAACTTTTTGGTGTGGGTCAGTCACCTGCTTGTTACTATGGATTTGTCATTGCTCTGCCTGGAATATTCCACATTAAGCAGTTGTATCTTACATTTATTCAATCACGGGTTGTGTTATAGCTCAAATATTGCCAGAAAAACAGGCATTCTGACTCCACAGATCTAACGTGTCACTTGGTCTGGTTTGGTCTCCATGAAGATTGAAAGGTTTAATACCATACTGTGAAACATTCCAGACAAAGCAAAACATCTCCATGGAGAAAAAGCATTTGAGAGACCCACCACCAGAAAAGTTACGCAATGCAATGCAAAGTTATTGATAATGTTACGATAATAATTTTCAATATTTCTCATCCTACCTTCATGTTGTCCAGTTCTTTCTGATGCACCTCCCTCTGTAGCTGCAGCTGTTGTCCCAAAGCGGTCCTCTCCTCCTGCACAGACCTCAGTTTGTCCTGGAGTTCTGAGTGAGACTTCTGGAGCTCTTTCCTCAGATTCTCCTCCTCTGATAACCTCTGGACCAGCTGAGCATGAGACGATGTGACCTGTTTGACGGTGTTTTGGAGCTCCGCGTGCTGCTCTTCGTCTTTCTGTCGTCTTCGGGCCTGTGACTCCAGTTTCTCCTCCAGACTTTGGTTTTCTTCTTTTAGTCGTTTATGGATGGCCACCTGATTACGAGCCTCCTGCTCTAGAGAGGTGTAGGCCTCTCGTACCTGGTAAATAGTCGGTAAATGAACATATGAGTAAGTCATTTAGTATTAGGGCAGCACAGAAAAAAAGGGATTATTTGGACTATATACTTGAAAACACCCTTTGAAAACACATACTAGGAAATATTTACCTGTTGCGGTAAAATATACTTTTTTAATGTATTAATAATGTTTTGTGAAATTCAGATTTCATTTTAAATTCTTATTTGCTATGACCACGGTCCTAATTTTTTATCAGTTGGAAACCTGTCAATGTGTTGTTAGAGCCACTGTACATTTTCTGTGTGTGTGTGTGTGTGTATATATATATATATATATATATATATATATATATATATATATATATATATTATTATATTATTCACTTTGTATTTGAGTAGAGCAATAATGAATCTGAATTAGTTAATCCCTAAAGAAAGCATTGGCAATTCGTATTAAGTTAGTATTCACATTGTATGCACTTTCAAAACCCAGGCTTGATTTTAGCAGATAATTTGAGCACCACACAGAAGAAAATGTCAACTTTCAGCAAATGCAAATAAGCGCAGAAAAGTACATCTCTTCTTCAGTACATAGTTCTATTTGTAGCCCGTACCTCCCTGACTTCCTGCTCCAGAGACAGTTGCCGTTGGCGACTATCGGACAGCTCCACGTCCTTGCGCCGCAGCTCTTCTTCCCGATGGGCGAGGCGGCCTAGGATTTCAGCCAGCTCCCTGCGGGCTGCCTCTGTCTGCTGGCTCAGCGCCTTCATCTGGACATGAGAACTCTCCCTTTCCCCCACAGCCTGCTGGGACAAACAGAAAGGCAAACCATGAAGAGAGGGTGTGAGAGGTGCGCAGAGAATAAACGAAACAATAATGATTAGAAGAATTGAAAGAGTAACAGTAACCGAGGGAGGAAACATGTGCAACGAAGGCTTTAGCGTTGATAGGAAAACGCTAGCACTCAGCTCTGTGATAAGGGACAATGGTCAGGTCTGTTTGAGGCAGATTGGCGCTAATACGTCGGCTTTGACTGGATTTTGCTGTAGCTCAGAAGCTAATCATTTAATTGAGCACTTGATTCCCCCTCCCTAATTCATTAAAGGAGCAGAGATGGTTGTGTAATAGATTCTGGTCACGTCCCAGAGCCAGGTGGGAGTCTGTCTGCCGAGTATGAAGGTGACTCGCTCAGTAATAACACAAAACACAGGCCAGAGCTAACCCCTATTATGTTTAACCTATGCACAACAGCCTAAGGTAGTTTATAATAAAATGTAGATGTCAATTTACAAGAAAGATGTAACATTTTTCCTGAGGTGGGCTTGCAAGAAAGTTAATGATTTGTAATACAATACAATAGAGGTATGTAATAGGTTAGGTTCCTCAGGTGGTATTTAGCCAGCTCTTCAGCTTGTGCGTTTGCCTAAATTAGAGTTTATTTTATCCACTTTTTTGCTCACTTTTGGATCATTTCTAGTTTAGAACTGAAGTGGCAACGGTCTAGTCCAGTTTTAGACCTGATTTAATCCTAGATTAGACCAAGACTACTTCTGAAAAGTTTCAGAGCCACTGGGTTAGAAGACAAAAATGGAACACAATCTCAAGAAAAAATACAAGGTGAAATAAAAATAGGCAGGTTTGTAATAGAAGATCTTATTATAGTTTTGCTCAATAACTAAGAGCAGCTCTCTAAATATTATATGGAGGGTTTTCTTTACTGATGTAAATAGCAAGAAAATTCAGATTCAAAGATTTTATTACTAGTCAAACAATCATCATTTGCCTCTAAGAAGATGTTTCTAAGAAATCTGTGGGTAACACTATAATTACACCTTAATTAATTAAATACTCCACTTGGACCATTACTTTATGCTTTAATAAAGCTAATTAAAGTATAGTTATTATAATGTGGTACCATTCTGTACTTTCTCACACCGACTGTAGTTATTTGTTGGGATATTTTCGATTTTAACTTTATTCTGGCTACACCAAACCTCAAGGTGAACTACACTGAGACCTGGAATTTCAGGGGAATACAGATCAAAATAAAAATAAAACAAGAGTCTATGAAAAACTTGCTAAAATGGGCAAAGGTGACACACACTAAATGTCGTCTGGTTGTTGTTACTAACAGCACTAGCAGCTGTTAAATCAGAAAATCAGAAGCCCGGGGCAGCTGTGTCGTGTTGAACAGATACGCCAGAAGCTAACAGCTAACAGCCCTTCTGTATTTGTGCCTCTGTTACCACCAGTGCTGCTGCTACATTTCTTTGCGCTGAGATTGCTTGGGAGAGATTTACCATGGTCTGGTGCGTGTCTGGATACAACTGATAGAAACGCAGAGGCTCTGCAGGTTTGCGAAAAGAAAGCTTCGACAAAAAAAATAAAAAAGCCTAAAGATAACCATCAAAGCTAGCTCCGATAAGACTCAAATAGAGAATTGTGGCGGTTTGCAGAGCGTTGAAGCAGATGTATGTTTTCACTGGAGGGGCACAAATACCATATGCTCAAATATTTTATGTATAGGAATGTGTCAAATTTTGGGGAAATAAACAGAGGCTTATCATTTTGGCAAATTAAGAGATAACATATTGTGCTTTCCAATTATTTAAAATCATCCTAAAACATGTTAATTAGTTTATAGTTAGACAAAGCTTCTAAAAATATACAAAACTACAGAAAAACATCCCTGACAGAAGAACTGAAGCTTGTATTGGAAAAATCTGTTAATTAGCCACAGTTGTTAATATATCCTGTTATTGCCAGATGATGTACAAATATTCTCAAATATACTTCTGTGTAATTGGGTTTATAGCATATTCTCATCTGTTTCAACACATTTTGTTTTCTTCTCAGTGGTTAGTACTGTTGTCACAAATACAAAAATTTGAAACTTGATTTCAATACTAAGAAAAGTCAACAGATTGCAAAATTCAACACAAAATATAAGATTCTATATATAGATATATAGATTCTTTAAAATTACTCTCCATTGACTCAGGAAAAGTCAGATTTTGTATATACTTTTTCTAGTATTGATACTTTGCTTGTTTGATACTAGTTAAGTATCAATTCGTATCTGGGATCTGATACTTTTGACTTTCTTCTACTCAGAAATTACCAAATTTTTAATGGAGAAAGAAGAGAAGTGCTTAAAGACCTTGACCTTATGGTGAAAATATGTCCAGTGTGTGCTGGTTGCATGTAATTAGAAAGTGTTTCACTGTCTGATAATCAGTAAGTGTTGTTGGCTTTACTGTCACAACAAAACTCCCCTCTGGCCTCTGAGAGTTGTGAAAAGCACTTGTAAACTCATCACAGTGAATAATCGGGATGTTCAGAATGCATAAAGTAAGTGAGGAATAACTTTGGACCATTGCAAACCGTTTAAAATTAACTAGTTCTGTTTTGATTGAGTGAAAATCGGCATAACCCTTATAATGAGCCACAAAGCTCTGGTTATGAAAGCCTGTGTCTGACCCTCTATGAGGCCTGGTCTAAGGTCTCACCTCCTCTCTCTCCTTCTGCAGTCTCTTGCACTTCGCCCTCCACTGACGGATGGCCTCCTGGGCTTTGGTCTTCAGCTCGTCTCTGCTCCTCTTGCTCTCCTCCAGCATCTCCTCCAACTGTCTTTTCTCAGCGCTCTCACAGCCCTGCAAGGACCATAGACACAAGATGTCTACAGTTCATAAGCAGTATTTCACTCCACAGAAAAGAAAAAGTTGAACTTGTAGATGTTATTCTGTCCAATTTCATAATATTTCAAATGTAGGCTCACAATAACTGCATTTTTTTCCAAAAATTTTTAATTTGTGCATTGTGTAACTTTTCTGTTGGAAGGTCTGCAACCGGCTTGTCTCCATGCCAAGAGATGCCAAGTGCTCTTCCAGGAATATTACACAGTATGGTATTAAACTTTCTTATTTTCATGGAGACAAGCAAGTGATGTCACCAGACCCAGTTATTGTTCAGATCTGCGGAGAGGTAATCCTGCTCAGATTTGCATGCATGTTTTTCAATGCATTTTTGAGTTAGAAACTGAACTGAATAAATGAAAGATATAAAGTTTAATGCCATACAATGGAACTTCCCAGCCAATACAATTAAAGGTGGTGGACAATCTACCAGAAACGTTACATGGTAGACTTAAAACATAGTAATTTCATAATTTTGATGACTCATATTAAGTGAATAGTCTAATCAAGTTTTAATTTGAGCTGATTAAGACCACATTATAATGGTAGGGTGTAATTTCCTAATGAACAAATATGGAGGCCAAGTCATAATGATACAATTTGTAATACTTCAGTCCTGTGAGCAGCAATACTGTACCAAATCTGATATCAAAATCAAGTTTGAAATTTTAGTATCATGAAAACATTAATCCAGGTACCTGTAGTTCTTTGAGCTGGTCGAGCATTCGAAGTTGCTGTTGCTCTCGGCGTGCCAGATCAGACGTCAGGTCCTAGTGTTTACACAAAAGAGAAAGGTCAGGAATAGATGTGTTTGCACTTTATGTAACAAAGACCAACCATAGAAAGAGGAAAGATAAGGTTAGAGGAGTGAAGGATGGAACAGAAACAAAGCAATATACAATTTGTAACAGAACACAATTTCTTTTGGTTAATGGTATGGTATTATTTGTACAGGGACAGCACACAACAACAATACAGTCACCAAGGCGAAGTCGTAGGAAATATTCTACTGCCAAATTATATAATGAATGTTAGATGACACATATTGAAAAATTGACTTGTATGATGTTTTTACCCGTGTCCCAATGGTTTCCCTTCAAATTTAGCTTACTTTGAGATGAAAGTATTTTGAGTGATTCATGCATGTGTGAGTAATCCTGTATTGTCCTGCATCCTCGAGTGGTCAGCAAAACAATTTTGCCTACTCTCTTTGACCGCTTTGACTGTACTCACTTGAAATGATCCTAGAATTTTAGGTTTAAGAGGTGGGGCTAGCAGCTGAATATGTGCTCTGCAGTTCTGAATATGAAGTCAGTGCATCTACTAGGCTGTTTTGCTGTTCACAATTAATAAACTGTTAATTAATGATTTATATGAGAAAATTCTTAGAATTAAACTTAATATGATGTCTTTATGGTAATTTAGTTGTTAGTTAGTTGGTAGTTTCAACACTGTAATAAAATCCCTTTAGAGTGTACAGGTGAGGCGACGCCTGGAACAGTTTAAGTCAACAAAACTGTCAATCAGTGGTAATTAATCACGAAGCAATTAGTCATAGCCAAATCACAATTGTCTAAACCAACAGTGAGAAATGCAATCCTTCACCCCATTCTCCAGACTATACTTCATTTAACTCATTTACGGATAAAATGAAAGCAGAGTTTATTTTGATGTCGACTTAAAAACCGCTAAGAGACGCCTTGGGTGACACACTCTGCCACAGACGAAAGAGTGGGAGTTTAAACACATTTGAAAACATCACAGGTTGCAAGAAAATACAAAATGTGCCAATTCTAAAAGTCGAGCCTTTCTGGAAATATTTTTTGATAGCAACCTTTTGCCTTGAGAAGCACAGAGCAGGGGAATGTGGGTTTTATGTCAGGGTTGAAAGTGACACGTTGCACTAGTTTGAGCAGGAAAAAGGGCTGTTGATTCAAACTGTCTGATGTGCTATTCTCACTGTTGATTTAAGAGGATCAGATAGTACTAGGGTTGGGGTATGTGGCCGGAGCTGAGAGCGTAGGAAACTAAAAGTGCATATGAGACATAATATCAATGAAATATAGCCAAAACTGTGCACAATAGTTAAAGGACCTATATTATGTGAAATATACTATTGTAAGCTATAAATCCTGTTATAATGTTGTTACCTCATCAAAAACATACCTGGAGTTATGTTTTGTTTCATTCACAAATGTTTGAGTAATCCTTTATTTTTAGTCTGTCTACATCACCAAAGCTTAAAATGCTCTGTTCCACCTTGTGATGCCATCAAGCAATAATTTTCAAGTTAACAGTTGCCTTTCACCTTTCACCTAGAGACTGACAATTCCAGGGCTGAAATCATCCAAATAATAGTGAAAGTTGTATGGAGTTTAAAAACACAATGGAGCACATCCTATATTACCACATGGCTTCACAAGGTAGAACAATGTTTTCAGTTTGAGAGAAAAACTCAGCCTTAAACATTTGTGAATGAAATAATACACACCTCCTGGTTTATGATGAGGGATTGTAACACAACTCCAGAAGATAACAACATTACAACATGTCTTAAAGCTCAAAAGAGTCAGTTTTTCTTTAGGTCTTTAAAGAAACTAATAGTGTTGTGTGTTGTAAATTATTGCATAAAAAATGCTGTAGCTTCAGCAGTTGAGTTTGACAACAGTAGGTTAAAAGGCATTAAAATTATGGGTTATGTCAACTCTAACAAACCAGCAATACTCAGAGTAATGTGTAAAATGCTGCGCCAAGGTCTCATCTTGTGGCTGCTTTAATACCATTTAATAAGTCTGAGTCAATGTCTGCCTAATAGAGATACCAGAAGAAGAAGTACTGGAAAATTCTCAATCCAACTACCAGACAGCTGACAAATAAAACAAACATTGTCTGAAATGCTGCTCAAATGAATTGTCCCTGAAGGGATAAACAAAGTAGTCTGAATCTCAATCGGAACCAAACAAACTAAAAACTAAACTTGATAGTGAAGGAAACTGGTTATAATGGCCAGTTATTATTTTTGCCCATGTATTTTAGCAAAATGTCTCTTGCTCCAGTGCAGATACAGTATATTGTATAAGCAGCTATTGATATGCCAGCTGAGCGCTGTCTGCAACCAATATTGAAGTCTTTTATCTTAGATAAGGACGTGCACTCTGTCATTAGGCCTATCAGGATAATTAACATTACCACATTACCACACTATCATACTATACTACATAATACACTACAAACTACACTACTACGCTATAATAATACTATACATTATAGTGCAATACATGATACTTTGAACAAGGTATTTTGGGGTTTTATTTATTGTGTGCATATATTTTTGTGCAATAGTGGGGAGGTTTCTGCAACTTTTTATGTAATATGATACATTTGAGCTGTAGAGGGATGAAAAAGTAATTCCCAATACAAATTATTGGTCCTTTCAGCTATTTATTTTTTTGTAGCTCAGGCTTTTTAATGATGCAGCATTTTAAAAAAAAATTGTTTACTTGGATTATTATTTGTATCAGTGGTATATTATTGTTTATTGTGATATAACTGTGTGCAATATATCATGCTTCAAAATCATGAAAGACCTAGTTATAATGCTAGTTATTATTACCTTTACCATGACAGCAAAACTCCATTATATATATACACTCACTGCTGTGAATAATTAGGATGCTTGGAATGCATAAGTTAATTGAGCAATAATTTTAGATTTTTGTTTTCACATTTTAAGATCTGTTCAAATATCAGGTATTGGGGCTTTTAAGGAAATTTGTTTAAAAAATGTGAGTTACTGATGCTGGATCTGGCCTACCCCAAAAAGTAACAGAAATGCCCATAGACACAGACAGGTTTGTTGTTGTCGATACAAAGGTTACATTTTCACTGCAGATATAGAAAAGGTCAGTGTGAAGCCGCTATGGAGCTGGAGACACATCTCTCACTGAAATAACCAGACGACAGAAAAAGGCGCCCGTATGACTTAACTGTGATGACTAATGGCACATTTGAAAGACAGACATTCAGAGGGAGGCCTTGGAAAGATGCGTTATAACTGCTTTACTTGATTTTTACTGTCTTAAAAGAGGAAAATAAAACTAGATCATTTTAAACAGTTTATAGTCCAGAGTTATTCCTCACTTACCTTATCTATTCTGAGCAGCCTAACTATTCACCGTGATGGGTTTATAAAACGCTTTTCATAACTTTCAGAGAAGAGACTGGAGTATTGCTATGACAATTTAAGTAACAGCAACTAACTTCCTGATTATAGGACAATAAAATGCTTCCTAATTGCATGCAATACAATATATCTGAACCTCAAACACCCAGGAAAAAGATTGGGCCAGTGCTTTTAAAAAAGGGCAAAAAACAAAGATCGGATGTGGGTACATTTATGGCCAGTAAATCATAAATCATCAGCTGTTACTGTTTACATGATATTTCATTGAACTGATAAATTCAGAAATCAGATAATGATCAGACTGGTGTGCATGGAAACATATGCAGTGCGTTACATATAAAACAATGGACAAACCTGAACTTGTAAGGAGAGTTGCATCTTCTCCTTCTCTTCACGAGCCAAAGCCCTCCTCAGCTCCTCCACCTCCCCCATCACAGAGGCTCTGCGCAGCTGCTCTTTAAGCTCTGACACCTCCTTCTCCAGGTCTGAACGATCTGCAACAACCAAAACAAATTAGATATGAAAATTTTTGACTTGCTTGCAAAAAGCAGAGACATTTTAAGATCGTCTGAAAAGTCAAGAATATATACAAAATCGATTTAAGCAACAGGAGCCTGTGATCAAAACATTTAATCTGAAAGTGAGATTTGAAAATCTAACTTGAGTCGAGAGCGTCTAACAGAACAGTGCCCTCAGTTAGTTTCACATGATCCCCAGGGGTTGTTGATGGTATCAGCTGTGAAGTATCAACTGGTTAACATTATGCTCTTTTTCAAGTACCAAATGATTTCCCTTTTTAACCCTTCCAGACCTAAGGGCATTTTTGGTACATTTGTCCTCGCCTGGATTTTTTTCCTAATTTTGCTATTAAAACTCCCCCTTTTATCCCCTAATGAAGTGCTATACATCCTTTTTTTCAGTACAACCTGTTCCTTCACAATCTGAGTGCTGTAGTTGTGTCATATGGCTGTAATAAAAGCTATAGAACTAGAAATACAAAGGAAAAAAAAAACGGAAAATAATATTCACACTCCTTTATTCAAAACACACAGCAAACATGTATAAACAACTTTTTAGACATAATAAATACTTAGTTTAGGGTCTTAGCTACAAAAGTGCAAAATATGAAGTTTGTAGGTATTCTAAAAATGTCATTTTTGCCCTCAAAACAAAAAAAAAAGTGCACTCGTCCAAGTCCTTCACTAGTGCCAATCATGGAAGCAGTTCCTATCAGGCACCAGGCATAGTGCCACATCACAGGCCTTGCATTTCCATGCAGTACACTGCCTCTTCCCCTGTGTTTGTCAGCAGTGCACACATGACAGCCTCCCATATGATCCTTGCCTGCTGCGGTCTTCCTGGTGTGGTGGTTAGTAAGTGTGGTGGTCGAGATGAAGTACTGAGGAGTGGAGATCTGGATCTTCCATGTCCTCCATCCCTGCCCCTCCTCCTGCTCTCAGAGGAGATCGTAGGTGTTGAAGGTGTTGATGGTTCTGGACGGGTGGCTGGGGTTGTAGACACTGATGAAGCTGGGGAGACACCTGAAGTGAATGGCACAGGGGAATCTGGAGGAGCCTGAGGAACATCCTCTGACTCAGCACTAAACAAAAGAAAAGGGAAAAATGTTAGTTTGTGTGCTTGTGTAAAACTTGTGTATTACACATGTACTACAACAAGTCTAAGTCTAGTGCAGCAGGGGCAAACACAATGCACAACCCCATCCCCCACCCAAATGGTGTCAACATATTATGACCTCACTAATTAGGACATCCACACCTCCCAAACCACTTCATCCACTTTACACATGTAGTTTGTAGCTCGTTATTACAAACAACAACATACATGTCATAAGTCTAGTGCAACACAGGTAAACAGTTGTCTGAAGTTCACAATCTCATCCCCCACCTAAATGATTATACCCCTCACGCATCAAATAAAACTGTATCCAAACAATGCGTAAATAGGCATTACGCATGCTACTATTATGTATTTACGCCCGTTTACTACAAGTGTGCATGATGTTTGCTCTAAATAACTATGAAATATTTGCTACTTACTCTTCAATAGCGTCCAGATCCTCCAGGTAATCCAACTCTTCATCTGTATAAAAAGTGTCCACATCGGACTCGGCGTCACTGCCAGGCTCCGTTACCATCGCCACTGCTTCCAGCAAGGAAAGTGACGCTTTGCGTGCCATTTCTGTTCGTTCGTTCTTTCTTTCTTTCTTTCTTTCTTCTGATAGACTTCCCGGAGCTCTTTATCCTCTGTGCGCAAAACAACAAATGCCTTGGCACACAAATGTGTGTACGCCAAGCGCGCATCTGCGCGCACCTGCTCACACCCGCGCGCACCCGATTCATTGCTCGGCACTAGGCTGTTTACGTCCTGTTGGGTGTATTATGTATCATTTGCAAGTAAAAAAAAAACTTTTCAAATAAAAATAGTAAGGGATGCGCAATTACGCACACCGAGATGCGTAATTTGCCATTTACTTGAGAAATAATGGTACTTAGGTCTGCTTTATCAAATGCTATGAGCACAGTCGCTCAGAGGAGTAACTATCTTGATATAACAATCTTTGGCAAAGTTTGGGCCAATGAAAATGGATGGAGCGCGTCACGCGCCGAAGAGCGAAGTTCCTATTGGACACCTGTTTTCACTACGTCACCACGCAGCGTGCGTGTGACGTAGGATGATGCCGGAAAGATGCTCGTAAAGCCACGGGTCTTATCTATACAAGGGGGAAAAAATTAAGTCTCTATCTTTTATGGTTAAAAAGTTATGCGCGGTTATGTAAAACATGTCCGACGGTATCGTATCTGGAAGGGTTAATATTTTGACTCTTGAAGGCCGTCTTACTCAGAAAAATTCCTCCATGAACCACAATCCATCACCATTCTGTAGAGTTTCGTGGTGTTGAAATCTCTGCAGTAAAAGTACAGATTTCCGATTCCTCCCGGTGCTCCCTCCATGCTGTGACCCTCACCTCTGGAGCACTTGGATCAGTTACCTGTGCCTCCCGCACCGCCCCCCCTCTCCTCTCTCTCAGTGTGGGGGCCATGTGGAGGGGCAATGGGCTGTGACGACTCCAGACGCCCCCTCTGCGCTTCGCTCTGGGCTTTTCTGCTCCTCTGCAACTCACTGCGCATGTCCTCCACCTGTGGGTCAGAAGAGAGGGTGAAAAATCACAAGAAATAACATGACCAAGTCTATACTAAAGGTTACATAAAAACATACACAAAGCCGGTGTAAAGGTGCAGTTAAAGGCCCTATATTACACAAAACTGACTCTTGTATGTGATCCTGCAATATTAGTCTGTGTACATCTCCAAAGCTCAAAATGCTTTGTTCCACCTTTTGATCTCATTTAGAGGAAGTCCGCAAGTTAATAGCCATCTTTACCTTTAGTTCAGTAGATATTCGCAATTTTGGCCAGGGCTGAAAGCATCCAAATGATTCTAGTGAAGGTGTATGGATTTAAAAAATACAGTGAAGCACTTCCTGTATCACTACATGATGTCACAAGGTGGAACAGAGTGTACTCAGTTTAAGTATGCAAGGTTTGTGTGTTAAACAAACAAAACACAACTCCACGAACATTTGTGTTGACGAAAAATATTATAACACAGATCAAAAATTAGAGTAATATGGGCTGTTTAAAATATTCAGTTGTCATTCATTGTTTTTATGCTTATTTATTCTGAGTTTTTCTGAAGGGAGAATGTAGGATATGTAGACCTCAATTTTCAATCTTATGAAAAACAAACAACAGTGGCTTTCATTATTTATTTCCTGAATAGAATTTTCATCATTGTCATTTAACAACAAAAAAATGTAAAATGTATTTTCCAAAGTCTGGCCTATTCTCCACTCTACATGTTTTTACTGACAGGAGAATAGCTGTAGATCTTTTGATTAAAATGTAATGACAACTAGAAAAGACTGAACCTCAATCTCAATAAAAATTCAATCCACTGCACAGCCTTTAGAGATAAACAATTTAAATGAGAATGTAACAGTCATGTTGGTTATTTTGGAAGAACTGTCACAAGCTATTCTTAACAAATCTCTGGCATCAACTAGAATGCATCCTATTTACTGCCACTTTTTTTTTCTATGCAGGGCCAAAGGTCATCAAAGGGACATATTTAAATGAACTTGCTAATTTTCCTATTCAGTTTTAAATACTACACCAATAATGTCCCCTTTTATCAAGCACCTTTATCACGTACTTTAGCAAGAGTTTACCAAGTTTTTAAAATAATGGCAGGGGCAAGATAACAGACTTGCATAAGACATAGCGAAAGTTCAAACAAGTGTTTAGTATTCAAAGTATAGCGAATAGAGAATGAAGAGAGGGATCATCGCATCAGGAGGCCCAGCAGAAGAGACTGACGTAGTTAGGTCCACAGTGACTGACTCATTGTTTAGACAGAACTCTTTGCACTAAACCTGCGTCTTAAAACACTGCCATACCAACTGCGTCGTCTGTTTGTGGTACCGTGGGGGGATTTCCTTAGCCTTGCATAACCAGAAGACCAAACAAACAAACCTGCTGAACCAGGGTCTCTCTGCTGTCCTCCGACTGCTCCAGAAGTCTGCGGGCCCGGTCCAGCTCCACCTCCATCTGATAGGGACACAGTGATATATAATGAGGCATTATGACTCAATGATACAATAACATACAATAACAACAATGGGTTTTATATACAATAAATTCATAGTTTAAGTTAGTAAGGTAACATAATACAGAAAGATAGAAAACATAAGGCTTATATTGTGATCATTTTTAAGTGGACAAAACTCTGGAGTAAATATATTCGGACTAGAGATGGGCATTCGATGAAATTTTCTTAATCGATCGTCGGAAGAATTAACGATCGATTATCGATTAATCATTAACGTTTTTATATTAAAATGATCATCATTATTATTACTATCTGCACTACTAATGTGCATAAATAAATTCAACTTTACGACATATAAACCGTAACGACTCTAGAGCCACATCAATCCGTTTGAAATTATAATGTGTTTAATGCAGTTTTGTTCAACTCTCACAGAAACAAAACTTAAAACCACATCGCTAATTTGCATAAACTCAGCGAAGATAAAACTACAGCTCTTGTGTCGCTGATGCGGTCAATTTCTGTCAGATTAAAAGACATGATTCAGTGGAATACAGGTTAGTGTGACCATATTTGCGTTTGTCAAAATCAGGACACCGTACGGGGGGAACTCGTCATCGACCTTGTGCGACTCTCACCTGGCAAAACTTTTTCCCACTGGACACCGAAACATATGTGCTGCTTTGTACACTGTGCACATGGACTCCCACTTGTCCCGAACGTAACGGAAAGCGTGGAATTTCTTGTACAAATCATCGTTAAATACGCATTTGTGCTTCGGTACGCTGCAGACTGACCGAATGTTTGTGTTTGCTTGCTCCTTCTGAGTGCAGAGACACATGTACGGACCCCTGTTTGGTCACGCTACACACAGCAAACTGCATTCGGTTTGTCGATTAAAATTAACGTAATCGATGAAATTCTTAATGATCAATTATCGATTAATCGATTAATCATGCCCATCCCTAATTCGGACAATCTGTATCATAAAATACAATAAAAAATTTGACTTTGTTGGATAACATGATTTTAAAAATTATCTAAACCTGTTAATGAAGTACATTTATATTTAAGCATTTGATTCGTAAAAAAAGGCCTTAAATGTAAAAAAATGTATATTATAACATTTAAAAAGATAGGTAATTATTTTCTGACAAAACAATTCACTGGACCATGCACATGCTATGAAGCAGTTACAAAATGTTGTAAAAGTATTAGTACTTTGTATAATATAAGACATGGGTTGTTCTCATTCCAAATATCCAAACTAATTATTTGTACATATTTAATGAATATTGTGAATTTGGTAATGCAGAAGTTCAAGTACTACTCTATATTTGTTTATATGAACCACTTTACCTTGGTCCTTTCTCGTTCTACTTGGAGTAACCTATCCGTGATGCTCTCATTTCCTTCATTGGGTTGGATTTTGTGGCGTTCTGGAAGCTACGAGAGGGAAAATTGCACAACTCAAATTTAATGAACGTATGTATAAAATCAGTGGGTGAAGGACAAGACGACACACAAGTAATTCAGCATATTCTATCATAAATGGTATGCAGTATATGTTTTTATTAATAGTGTTCCCACCTCTATCACTAATAATCAAATATAAACTGGCAGTGGCGTTGGGTCAGCTGATGTAGTTTGGTGAATGAGAGCTGTGAACGTTGAGCAGGTAGAGACAAATTTGCATGCATTGACCAAAGATATGTATTCATCCCTACCCATAGTGACCTTTAAGGACCTTTTCTCATTCAAAAGATATAATATTTTGTTTTAAATAGCTAATCACTATGTCAAAGATCCCATTTTTTTCTTCATTCTGAAACTTTTCAATGGTAAACGGTCAAAAACAGCTTGTGTCACAAAAATGTATTGAATAAACAGGAAAGAAATGTGCCAATATTATAAAGAATACTTAAATGGTTCAGATTTCACAACTTTTTCCAAAGAGGAAGTGAGCATGGGGGTGCTTCCGGCTCCATCGACTCTAGCTCCAATTGAACTCTACAAAATTGTCACCCCCTCTCTCTGTAACTGCTGCAGTGAGCCTCGTTATTTTGGTCTTAAAATGTTCGTATTAACCTGCTACACATTTATTCCGCTATTTTGTCCATAAATAAATTCCTATTCCTAATATGAAACTCTGCTCCAAATTTGCCCGTGTAACTGCTAGCCTCGTGAACTTCATTTGACTCGAGCCGAACGCTATGGATGACATCAGGTTCCCTTAGTCCAATTCTTTATACAGTCTAGCTGTTTAGCAATGGGTACTATAGGGATGAACATAGTGTCACCGAAATAAATTGTATCAACAGCAGTGTGGATTGCATTTCTAATTATAGCTTTTCTGAGATTAAGTCATGATAAACAAGAAAGAATTGTGCTAATGTTATGAAGAATACTTAAAGGGTTCAGATGCCACTACTTTACGCAGAATGTGGTTATGAATTACCAGCTGCTAGCAATAACATGCGCCAAGTGACTCATCATGTTTTTGATTGTCACAGCAGGCCCATCGGTGGGGAATAGATGCGCCCTTTGCTTCCTCCTCTGCTGCTTTTTAGTACTAAAGCATGATTTTCCTCTTCATTTCCACATATTTGTTTATTTAGTCTTAATTTTTGGACAAATTTGTTTTTTTTTCTAGTGCTTCGGGCCCTGCTGGTGTCCCATTAGGCCACTACAGAAAAGAGGCAATGCAAATGAGTTGTACGCTACTATCTTTGCAAGTGTTGTTCATATAAGATACAGTAAGAGAGTGGCTACACAGTGCCCCTATGTGGTGAAACTAAATACTGACATACTCCAATGGGATAAAAGGATGGGGAATGCATTTTTAAAGCAAGATTAACTACTACTGCACGCCAATGTTGAATTCAAGATACAGGGGAAAAGAGTTACTAATTACAATTTTTAATCTACAGATACAGAGCACAATCTACTCCAGATTATGAATAGCAAAAGAAAAATTGACAAAATTTAAGAGCGATTACATTTGACCACTCATCCATGTAGCTTATTCGGTTCTGGCAGGTTTCTAAAAGCCACAACCAAAAATTTTAAACTCTATTTCAATACTTTCGATATTATTTCAATAAGAGTAGACTTGATACTCAATACTGATTTTGATACTCAAGTTTTAAAAGCAAACTTTTCAACAATACTGTAATTTTCAACAAAAAATAATAGCTTTTTTTTTTAAAATCATACCATGTGGTGTTATAGTAGATCTGATAAAACTCAAGATCTAATTGTTGAGGATCTGAAATGAGTATCTAGCAGTTAGTATCATTTAGTATCTGATTTTTGATCATTTTGACAACCCTGCGTTATAAATTATATTACTACAAAGTATTTCCTGCATGATTTTATTTTATTTTTTTCAAATTACTATTTCTGGCATCTCCTTTAACCCTGACTTAATAGTGCAATGTGACGTTTTCTCCTATAGGCTTCAGTTGAGCTATAATCTCTGCCAAAACTAAAGTGCACCTAATGACAGGGCTCCCTCTCTGCTATTAACGCTTTTAGACGGTTGCACAACTAAAAATAAAGGCAGTGATTGGCACAAAATGGGAACGTAGCAAATGATTACTTACTGCTGCATCTGAGCATTAGCAGTAGTGTTCGAGTTTAAAGCTAATCAGAGAAACTGTTGACAAAGTAGGGAGGCCTTAAGGACAAAAGAGTGGGAAGACTACTACTACTGGGACCTATGTGGACTTAATCACATGCTTTATAATTGCCATTTATCGATGGGCTTCAACTTCCTGTTTATAGAGACCATTCTGAGTATTTTTCACCATTTAATAAATGTTTGCCATGGCACCGATGCTCATTTTTTCTCACGCCCTTGTATTTATGGAGACAGATAAATATAACGCCATACTGTGGAACATCTCAATGAAGGCAAGCAGATGGTGAAACCCCCACCAGAAAAGTTACACAGTGTACCTTTAAAGATTACTGAAATGTTTGAACTTTTTAGCTCATTGCAATCATTTAAATATTTTTTATTACATTGTGATTATTCTTGAAGCCTCCATTTCAGAACCAATTAAGTTCATTTTTGCACAATGTCAGCGTTCTGTTTTGTGTTTTTTGGTTTAGGTTATGTGGCGTACGATTTGATGATGAAGGCAGTCCAGGTCTTTTCAGAAGGTGTTACAAAAGTTCATAATGAGCTTTCACAGGCTTTCTCATTTAAAATACTTTTGTACCACAAACCAGTGACTGTATTAGTCATACTCATGGTCAGAGGTGTTAGATTTCATATTCGCCCATGTCCGGCCCCTGACCAGGCTCAGTGCTGGACGTGTGATCTCCCTGAGTGTGAGGAGAGAGAGGTGTGACATGACAGGATCACATTAGTGTAGTGTCACCTCCTCGGACATGGCCGCCCGCTGCTCCGTCCTCCTGCTGCGCTCTGGGACCCTCTTCTCCGAGGTCATCTCCCTCTCCAGCTCCAGCTCGTGCAGACGGCGTTCCACAAGAGACGACACCTACACGTGGGGAAAATGATAATGCTAAAGTTCAGCTAATAATTGGAAAGATGGAGTGATAAATTGGATATCAAGGGTAGTCTGACAAAAACATCTATTACATGTCCAGAATGGGTAAAATTAAATGAAATGAGAGAGCAGCAGCTGAATAGCCTCAGTCATAAAAGCTTGGCACCTCTTTTGTCTAATAGGGGAACACAATCTGAGAGCTAAACCAAGGCTGATGAAAAGCAGTTTAATGTTAGTCACTTTCCTACATTGTTCCATTTGTTTCCTGCTCTGCATTTGAACACAATATACACATTACAATACACTATACATCATATTTTTGGATTTTACAGACACATAGATTTTAGCATGCAATGCAAAGGGTACTTATTTGCCAAATTACATAATAAAGGCTTTCAGATAGTAATATCTATTTAATCAAAAATTCCCATTAGCATCAAGCACGTATGACTCACTGTTTCTAGCTTAAAGTATGTGCTCTAACATAACAACCGGCAATATTAGTAAAATGTAATCAAAATATAATCAAAATACTATCAGAAATAATTATAAGCAGTAGCGACTTTTGGAGATGATAAGATATCCAATATTTGGCCTTGCTGATACCAGTATTTAGTTTTGAAATCCATAGCCAGTCCCACAAATTTATCTGAAAATGAAGTAAAGATCAACCTGACTTTTCACTTATCTGTCAATACAGATACTGACAAAGATGGATTGGCCAATACTAACACTGGAGCCGATATTTCGCAAATCCTTAAAAATGAGTTTGGGCTTACTCAAGATTTGTTAATTAAAACTTCTTTCCTTCTTCTAAGGGACATATTTTGACACAATACATCAGCGTGCTACCTTTGTATTTGAGATCTCGTAAGGAAACAGGAAATTAGACGAGAGCGTGACAGATCTATCTTATTAATACAACTGAAAACATTACGCTGAAGATGCGCGATTTCTTTGTGTAATCAGAAACCATCACATTCACATAAATACCTTTATCTTGTCAGCGTCAAGATAAAAAATATTAAACATGTCAGGTGGAGCCAACACACTCGTCCAACCAGAGGTGCTGGGAATGAAGTTGAAGTGTTTGCTAGACATTTTTACAACAAAAACTCATTGGTCTGTTTTTGAAATATATGTGCATGGGATCTTTTCATCCATCAAAGACTGTGAGGCGTGTAAATCCTCTGCGCCCCTCGCCTTTATTCTGACGTTTAGAATAGAAAGCATATTTTTAAAATGGTGGAATAGGCAGCCACAACTCACTGCATCCTGTCTTTGTGAAGCTGTCATATGCTCCGAGAGGTTCTCCATTGCTCGCCGCGTGTCAATATCGGCCCTATAAAAAAGACAAATTCAGAGGAGAGCAGCTATTTACGCAGCAATAGAGGCTCAGAGGCGTTTAAAATTCCTATTCCCAAACAGCACTAATCAAAATGAATGCATGATGTGAAGCTACTAGAAATAATTATGTGGATGTCGGGCTTTGAAATAGGGAGGAGGGTCAGAGCAGTGTGGTCAGCAGCATCGCGGGGGGCAAGGTTTTTAATAACAGCAAAATGTCAAATTCTAATGGGCAGCAAGAAAAAATACGCCGCCTCTTGACTTTCAAAACTCTCTGGATAACTTTAGTACCATGACTTCATAATCATTTGGCCAAGAGAGGGGACCATGTTTGCCTTTGAGATAATAGTACTTCTATATAGAAATCAGGAAATGAAGTTATGTCTGAGTAAAACACAATAATGAATGAAAATGATAAGACTTAATTAGAAATCCTTGAAAGCTATAGAGAACAGTAACTCTAACTTTTCTGCCACCTCCTTGTTTCTTTAAAGATGTTATTGCTTTAGCTGGAATGTTCTCCAGTATGACATTATGTCACTTATGTATGACAAGCAAGTGACACTATTAGGCTAGTGGGCCAATTAACAGGTCAGATCTGTGGAGAGGCAAACCTGTATGCTGTAAAAATGTATGTTTAATCTATGTTGAATGTATGTTTAATAAATGCAAAATGGATGCCAAACTAAGGAACATTCAAGGTAACATATAATACATTTCCATGGGGACAAGGAGAACCCTCATCTTTAATCTGTGGCATTCTTGAAAAGGTATTTTATATATTATTATAAGCTGTTGTGGACTGAATGAAATATATCTGAACACAAACAATACCTATTTCTCCTGAGAATTTCTCTTCCCAGGTCATCTGCTAGTCTCTGCTGGTCACTACGAAGATCCCTCAGGGACTGGTGTAAAGTATGGATCTACATCACACAGAAACAGAATACAAAACAAGAAGAAAAAAATAGTTTATAAAAGGAATCTATAAAAGACATTAATTCTCCAGGGCAGAATTCAGCACATGTGAAGGTACTGTAGCCTGCCCCCTGATGGTAAAAGATAATACTGCAGAAATATATATATTTTTTTCTCTCACCTCTTCTCCTGTCAGCCGAGCATCCTTGAAGCGAACACTTGAGTGGGACCTCCTTCTTCTTTCTGGAGAACTCCTGTAGTCTCTCAAGGGAGAAGTGGGGTGAAAATGTCGACTATCTGGAATAGAAAAGTAAAATAATAGTACAACTTTATTTACTCCAGCAATGACAAGCAAATGCAAAAAAGCTTACAATAAAAGAGCAAGCAAGAGAGGATACTAAACTTTACTTTGTATCCAAAAATAAATATAGAATACGCAAACAATGGCACCATGAAGTGTTTTGTACCTGATTCAGAGTAGAGATCTAGGTCACTTGTGTGAAGAGGTGAGGCTGAAGCAGAGGCACTTTTGGTCCCATGGCGCCCACTCCGCCGCTGGGCCTGCAGCTGGCTGATCGAGTCCTCCAAGTTCTCCCTAAGCTGAAGATGAAATATAAATGAGCACAGTGTTGCAGGAGCTTGGGTCACCCTGGGCAACAGTTAGTTCATTTTATGGCTTGCATTTGGAGACACAACAGACATTCATTCAGACTTACACTAATTTACAACGGGCAATTTAGAGTGACCAATTTGCAGCTTGTTCAAGACAATAAGACCAAGCTAACATTACCAGAGTGGAACACATACCGTAATGTGTTGTTATGAAACATTGCATCAAACAGTGCTTTTATCACAGCACAATAACAATATTAGAGCAGCAAGTTACTTAATTGGGACTAGTCAACTATTACAATAACTGTAATTATGATCATAATTATCTGGACCAGACAGACATATTATAATAAGGTTGTGTTTACTCACCAGAGCCATGGCTTCAGCTTGGTCATCCGTGTGCTCCCTGTACTGACCCAGCATCCGGTCAACTTTATTCAGGTTTTTGCTTGTGCTCTGCAACAAACCGGACAGTAGATTAATTTTAGAAACAATATAATATTCTCAAATAATTTCTGTTAATACACTATCAACTTAAAGAGCCCATACTATGTGTTATAATGTTTCCTCATTACACATCCCTGAAGTAACACACAAATCCTGCATATTTAGGCTGTGGTCTTCTCTCAAATGGAAAACACTTGGTTCCACCTTGTGATGTCATGTGGTAGGAAGTGGTCCACTGTGTTTTTACAGTCCATACAACTTTACAAGAATCATTTGGATCATTTCACCTGTAGAATTGCCCATTTTTGCTTAAGTAAACTAAAGGTAGCTGTTAACTTGAAAACTACCACTACATGACATCATAAGGTGGAAAAAGAGAAATTTGAGCTTTAGACTAGACAGACTCATAATAAAAGATTACTCAAAAATGTGTGAGTGAAAACAAAACACAACTCGAGGTATGTTTTGATGAGGTAACACCATTACATGGCTTAAAGCTCACAAGAGTCAATTTTGCGTTAACACATAGCACATTAATATTTCATTCATAACTCATGCAGTGTTGTGGTACAATGGAGAAAGACAGTACCTGTAGAGTATTTGCCAAAGTGCTGATTTTACTGGAGATCTCTGAAGTTGGGACATCTCTCGCTCTGCCTCTGTCTCGGCTCTGTCTTCGGCCCCTCACCCTTTGCCCCCGGTTCCTCTCATATGTATCTGACTCACTGGATGTGTTCATACTGCAGGACATCCCAAGTAACCGTGAAACAAAGTATGTTTTCTTGGTTTGAGGTTTAACTAATCGTCCATGTTAGCTCCTGAATGGGTCGATAATCGTATTAACACACAAACTGCAGGATTTTAACTTTCTTCCCCAAACCTTTTGTTGACATGGTAAACAGACAAGTAGACTTTTTCATTGTCGTCTTCAAAGTTAAAGGCATCTACCGAATAAAACATACATCTTGCACTTTGTACTTTTTCTTTATTTTCACAGACGACCCCTCAGATGATTGTTGTGGGATGATCCTCTTCGTTAGCAACAAGTGGTAAAATCTCCATCGGCGTTAGCGAGCTAGCTCCAAGGCTAACTATTCTTATATGCATCCATGAAAAGTTAATATCCAACCACTGCAGACGCGCACTAAACGTCTAAAATGAAAACTACTTGCAATGCACTTTGAGTAACAAAAAGATAAAGGTCCACCTGATCTCTTGCGAAACAGAAAACTCTCAGCTTCACTGTGCTATGGCAACTCAAACTAGCCGCGCCTGAGCAGCAAAACAACCGACTTCGTACGCAGCCGCAAAGTCCGACGGGAAATGTAGGAAGCGGGCAGGGGTACACTGTTGGAATTTATTATTTGTGAACTACATTGTCCAAAAAGTACTCATTTGCGCCACTGTTACCGCCGCTTTTCTAAACTTCTGGAGACAGCAAACAAGAATAAACTGTAAGGTGAAATCATTGAAATAAATTACATAAAACATTCAGAAATCAACGTTTAATATACAAATATATTTGTACATTATTATTTATTTTCTAATTCCAACGACGCAAAAATACTTAAACTTTGTGTTAAATGCAATTTATTTTCATGTACATGCACTGTACCCTGGCAGGTACAACGCATGGAATTTTTGGACAGAGTTTTTTTCTTTTTCTTTTTTTTTTTTTTTTTTTTTTTTTTTTAGATCTAAACCCCAAAGTCCACCCTCTCTCCAGAAGACCACCTCCAATCCTCCTTCAAAATGCAGCAGCTGCCCTTTCTAGCATCCAACCTTCACAACCACTCAGAATCTCATTGAGCCTGGTAAAATAAACTACTCACTCTTACACTGTTTTCATAAGTTAAGTCAATCTCGTGGGCTTTTACGCGTGTTGAAGACTTCACACTGACTAAAAGACTATTTATCTTGGAGGATTTTTTTTTCTACTTTGTTTTGAGTATGCAGGTGCTGTTTGCGTGCGTCTTGTTTGCGCTGTTGACGCTGCACATGTGCGCAACGGCCGAAGCTGAAGCTTGTCCAGAGTCGTGCGATTGCGAGCCCGGGAACCACCAAATCTACTGTGGCGGGATTGATCTCATTCCCAAATTCCCAGCAAGTACGGAGAATCTGTAAGTAGGCGTGCACGTGCAAAAGTCATCCATCTGTTTTTCATGCATTCAGAAAGTGCTCTTAAACCCTAAGGAAAAACCATTATAATATCATGAATATTCCCGCAAAGTGCTCCCAGGGGGGCTGTAAGATGTCTGCCGTGTTAAGCAGTTATTCCCTTTAAGCTACATTTGTCTTTCGTGCTATTATTAATATGGATAGAGTCAGAGCGGTGCCCTTGAATAGGTAGAGGGTATAACATCTTTTAATGGCTGCAAAAGCTGCTATGTAAATTATAGAGGTATAGGCCTATGTGGGAGGACTATAAATGCAAAGTTAGTTGAGAACAATGTGCATGGAATTGCTTTGAACCCATACCTTTCCATTCCACGGAAAATTAATTGCTATAATATATAGATTTTGAATTATGAAATAAAATTAATTAGGAAAATGTATGCCCAGAAACCCACTATTGTATATTAACAACATTAGTCATTTGACAGTAATGCATTAGTCGTAACGAGATTTTTATACTCTTTTATATTTTTATACACTTATTAATTTGAGGCTCAGTCACTTATGTAGCAACAGCTGCCCACTCAAAGTTACACACACAATTTGTTGCAAGGACTTTATTATAGTATGTAAAGTGAATATTAGAGTGGATCAAAAGGCCAATATGCAGACAAGCGGTTGAATATTACAACTAAGATGCAGATGATTTGATGTGGTAGAACAACAAATCAATGAACCCTTCAAAGAAATGGCACTTTAAATTATGCACATTAAACATATGTTTACTCAAAGCTGAACTTCCTGAAATCTTTCCAGTTGTCTCTGTGGATATGTTAATTGCATTGCCTAGAATGTATGGTATTAAATTGATCTATCTCTATGGAGGATAGTTTATAGGTCAGACCCGTGGAGAATTAAAACTCAAATCTCACTGTAAGATTTAAGTTTAATATATTGGTAATGTAAGAGATGTAGATTTAATGCCATGCCGTGGAACATTATAGTAATAACATCTCTATGGAGACAAGCAGGTGGCTGAGCTTTCACTAAAAAGTTAGATAGTGCTCTTTAAGGGTCCTATTTTAATCTCAGTCCACAGTAGAATTTCTATGGCACTGGTCCTTGTGGGTTTATTTTCTTGTGTTGATGCTTTACTGTTAATTGAATCATATCAAAATGTTTCTTGTTATGTTTTCTTTTGGTTGCTGCCCCAAATCAAGGTCCAAAGGGGGGAACCTGGTAGCCTGATCAATATGTCTGCAAAATGTCCTTCAAAACAAGTTTTATCAAATATGTATGTGGACTTTCTTGCTAAAGTGAGCTAATCAATTAGTTAATATTTCAACAAGATGTCATGTATAAGAGCTGTCTATTCTGCTGTCATTCAGAGACGCTGGTGACCAAAATCCTGTAATCATTTGAATTGAGTTCTGTAAGCTGCCTGCGCTAAAATAAAGACATCGTAGATTTTCCTATCTCCTGAAGTTTTTTGCTTAGGAGTTACTTGCGTGTCGCGTCTGGGGAAACTGACATCCTATATAGACAGACTATGGGAGAGTGAGACAGTGATGGAAGTCCATGATGTAATGTGTCAGGGTCACTTCTGAAAAATCCAACAGATCTTTTACAATTTTTGAACTGCTTGAGTAAAGAGGAGACTTATATAACCGCGGGTGACCAGTTTGCCCCGGCCTTGAGTGACGGAAACATGTGCGCTTTACTGTGGCACATGGAAAATGGAATTCTTTAGCAATGCTCTTTCCATTTGAAATTAGGCATTCTTTGGTGTTTAATCAGATGGGATAACTTTAGTAGTGCCCATCACATTAAATTATCTTCCAATCATTACTTCAATTCGAAAATCCACATGCTCCAATATGCCCAAACTTTCACCACATTCCTGCTTATACTCTGCCAAAAAAATCAAAAAGTTAAATTGCCCATATTACGCTATTTTCTGATCTATGTTATAATGTTATTTCCCCTTCACAAACACACCTGGAGTTGCATTTAGTTACATTCACACATTTTTAATGCACAAACCCTGCATATTTAGGCTGAGTTCTTCTCTCAAACTGAAAACACTCTGGCCCACCTTGTGATGTCATGTAGTACTATAGGAAGTGCTCATCTGAGTTTTTAAACTCCATACGCTTTCCCTAGAATCATTTGGATCACTTCAACCTTAGAACTGCCCACCTCTACTAAACTTAAGTTAAAAGGCAGCTGTTAACTTGAAAATTACCGCTACATGACATCTCAAGGTGGAACAGAGCATTTTGAGCTTTGGAGATGTAGACAGACTAATAATAAAGGGTAACTCAAACATGTGTAAATGAAACAAAACACAACTCCAGGCATGTTTTGGATGAGGTAACAGCATTCTACCATGGCTTAAAGCTCACAAGAATAAATTTTGCGTAATATAGGGCCTTTAAAATGGGCTAAACTAGATGCTCATCGCCGCATGATAATTATAAGTGCCATGGATTTGGGCTTGAATAACGGGGAAGATTTTAGTATAGCTTTACCTAATCTTCGGTGCTTAGCAAAATACAGAATAATAGCTGATGCACTGGGAAACAAGGCATTATCTTCTCAATCACGGCATTACTATCTGCTACTGGAATTATAGTCTTGGCTAATGTAGCGAATAACTGATGAAAGGGGAGAGTGCTTTAAGAAGTGAATAGTGTATAATAAAGATCAAGAGCTGCTAAGTGATTTTTACAATGACTTTTTATGAACTGAACTTCTTATGCACATGGTACAAATATATCATAGCAATTTCACTATGTAATTATCTGATCAATTTCACTATGTAATTATCTGATCAGCTTTAACATAAGTCTGATCAAGATACCATAGATCTCATATCAGGACGACCCACATCAATAGTATTACATTAGAGTATATAAAAGTATTCAGTGTGGTTGTTTGTGAATAAAAGAATGGGTCCTTGATAGTGTTATTATTACTTACTATCTTCCTGTACCTCTGCTGGCCTTGGCACTGGTCTCTAGCTGTTCCGTTGTCTTCCCCCAGGCCTGTGCATCCCGCCTCATTGTTCTTTTTAGAGTTTCTTTGGGCCTTCCTTTGCTTCTTTTTTTTTTGTCAGTGACCATCTCTAGACTTGTAGGGGGATTCTGAGTTTGCATTCTCATTACATGTCCCCAATATCTTCTTTCTTTCACTATTTCTAGGATGTGTTACATTTTGTTCCTTCTTCATTGCTGATGTGTTGGAATTTGATTTTAAAGATTATATTATTATACAATACTATAATTTTACTTTTTATACTAAAGACATCTAAGGACTATTGACACTGATATCAATACCAGTCTTGATACCACATAATAATAAAAACATTCTTATTTAGTCAATGTAAACACAATATACTAGCGGTTTCTAATAGATCATGGCCATTCAGGAAATCTTGAATTCTTATATATTTTTATACATTGGATTTTACTTTGTCTTAAAAATTCAAAACAAATACAATGGCTATTAATTTTCTTACCATAAACAATACAGACTTTAAATAATTGCTATTTAACTCACAAAATCGTTACGTTTCTTCTTTAAAGTCTGAACTCAGTTTGAACTATGCTTTAACTGACAGAAGCCTGGCTGTACACATCTCAATTAAAAGCCACAAGCTGATCATTGATTATTAGATGAATTGCACAGCCCTATGAGTACTAGAGTGGGTTGTATTTGTGACACCGGAGCTGCTGTGGTGGAGAGAAAAGCACAGACGCTGTTCTCGTAGCGTGACTCCGGGCTACGTCTGGATGATGCATTCAAATACAATATTTACCTTCTGCTGCACATTTCTCAAACACTTAAAGAGTCCCATTTGAGAATAATTAAGAGCAAAAAGACTTCAAGGAGAAAGGAATCAAAACAGCAATTGTCAGTCTCACAAATACCTCAAAATTGTACGATTGTAGTACTGTGTTGCGTGTATCTGACATAAGCTGTAACTAAGAGTGAAATACCAATGTGGCTACTTGAATGGGAACAGATGAGTGCAAGGATTAATTGTAAAATAACTAAAAAGAAAGAACTATTGTGGGAATTACTGGAAATAGTGTCATTTTTCCCAGCTATTCTATAACAAAGAATCATGCGTGGAAACTGTGACAAGTGTCTCATGTTCTGCTGGTAATATGTGATGGCTTTATTAGATAATAGAGAAGATGGTGTAATGTTGATGTTAAAATGGTACTTGCCAGTAAATTAATGCAACATTTTAAACATAGAGCCTAGACAGTTATAACAGTTAGAGATTCTATGACACATATACATGGAGCTTCTTTAAGTTCCGTTATTGTAATATTCATTTCTTGTTATATAATTAGAATAATGCTGTTTAACTTTTAAGCACTTTACCAGACACTCAAAGAAGCTTAACAGTTTGGCAGTAACTCCAGTACAAAAGGTAGGAGAAGTGAAGGACACAATATTAATATTTACTTGTCAGAGCCGAGATCAAACCATCAGCCTTACAGTGAAAAACAGAACTTTTATTTCATTTTAAACAGTTTGCAGTGGTCCAAACTCCATCCATCAATTTTCTTCCACTTATCCGGAGCTTGGTCACAGGGCCAGCAGTCTAAGCAGGGACTCCCAGACTTCCTTCACCCCGGACACTTCCTCCATAAGGGGCTGGGGCAGGGAGATCTGGTCCAAACCTATTCCTCATTTTATGCTTTTCATAGTTCCAAATATGGTTGGGTGGCATCCAGATTTTTATACTGTTAAAATTTCTCGGGCTTTTACCACGGTATACGGTATTACCTTATTACCAAAATGTTTTAGTGCGACTTTGGTAAGCTACGAAGCCAAACCGCTACAGTCTATGCATATGATGGGCAGACCTGTCATCTCTGAAAAGTTTCACATTTATCATCATCAGCGCACAAGGAAAGAGCTGTTTTTTTCAGCGCTTTATAGTAGAGCCCGACCGATATATCGGCTGGCCGATATTATCGGCCAATAA